CACCGCCCTTTACTGAGCTCACAATGGGGGTTGCATGGGATGATTCAGGGTCGATGTTTATCCCTCACTGTTCTCGTGGGTTGGGTTGGATGGTGGTGTCTTGAATCAAGGATGTCTTAGTTTAGACTGAATGAAGGGTTTGGTGAGGTGAGGGTGGTAACCTGACTAAGAGGTCAGAGTTGTGGCGGCCTGGTTTACCGTGGCAGCCTGGCCTGATCTGACTGACCTACCACCTATCCTGTTGACGATGGGTTGGCTGACTGTTTGTGTATCGTGGCAGGAGGGGGTCGTTGTTCCCTTTCAGCTGATCAACGCCCCGGAAGGCTCTGAGTGCTGACAGAGTGAGCATTAAGGAACAAGCAAACGGGGAGTCGGAGAAATGAGACCAGAAAAAGATGCAAGTTCTGGGTTGCCCGAAGATTCTAGGTGAGATAATGATCCTCATGCGTACCTATGCAGGGAGGTATGTAGACTTACCACGTCGTGGACAAAATGATAGAGACCGCAGTATGGGATCAAGACCTAGAAAGATGACGGAAACACCACCGACCATCTCAGTGGCTCTCTTAACTATCTCCAAAGGCCTATTCATACATGCTTAAGCCTTATGAACTGTCTTTGAAGGCACACTGCCTAGCTTTAAAGGTCTTTGTTCCCAGCAACAGTCTTCCTCTTTTTACTCGCAACGTGCTCGTCCATCAAAGTCCGAGAGATCAGAAATATGCATAGTTGTGGTGGTTGCAAAATACTGAAGTCTGATGTCTTAGTGAGAACTACATGTCAACACCTCTCAAAGAGCTGAAAAGGGGTGACTGGCTTAAAGAAAGGGGGCTCCTCATCGCTGTGACTACCAAGAGTGGTTAAACGTTAGACAGAAGAACGATGACATGGCGCATGCTATCCAGTCAAGCCTTTTATGTTCTTTGACAGTGCAAGTAAACAAAAACTATGCCAGGTCGGAGATGGAGACATGAGCTATTGGGTACCCCATATAGAAGCAAGTGAGGTAGGTTGACGGGAGAACATCAAAGGAGATAGGGAGTATTATGGCTTGAAGACAACACAACTCATCCCCTCTTCATTAATATACCTTGCCTACCACTACCCCCTGTACCTAATGAGATTACCAAGTACCACGGAAAAAGTGTCACAAGCGTTCTATAGATCGGAAAGGATAAGCACAGATGCCTTAATCAAGATAGGGATAAAATCATCCCCAAAAAGACACAGCAGGCACAGAATTGATGACAACAAAATCTGATGGAAAAGGAAATACCAGGTATGTGTCTTCACGTCGAAACACCCACTTAAGATCATCATGCCCAACTTCAACACAACTCCCAGGATATTTTGGCCTTTACGGCTTCTCAGCCTGCAAAATTAGATTACCACCACTACCTAGATATAGAGCTACCTGCTTTTATCAAAAGAATAACCCTCCCATATACCCCTAAACTCCGTGGAGATTATCCTTCCCATAAATGCCAGTAACCCATTTCATAGATCGTAGGTAATCCTCGTAAATCCTCATCATAATCATGTCCCCAAGACGTATACCTCCCACCACCACCCTGCTCCCAACGCCAGACTCCTTCAAACCAAAGAAAGAAAACAGATTTCCATATCCATGCCCCCAATCAAACTCTCACCCAACAGCCTGCACCATCACCACCGGCAGCACCGTCGCCCCAAGCACACTAGCAACTATGGGCCAACTAGCAACCACACCCCACGACCCAACCGCGCCCTCTCCCTTACCCCTCACAACCTCCTTCACAACCTCCCCCAACTTGTCCCCCTGTCCCACAGCCATCACCACCGGCTCCCCAGCCATACTACACCAACCCATATACTCCCCCAAAACCAACATCGCAACCAACGCCAACCCCGAACCAACGCTAACAACCTTCAAATCCCACCCCTTATTCTTCTTCTTCTTTTCCCCTTTGCACTTCCCCTTCGCCCACAACCCCTCGAAAAACCTCACCACAACCGGCATCATAACCACCACAACCCCAAAGCAAACCAAATACACCCCCAAGACAAACATCCCCCCCTTTTCCCCCTCAACAACAACACACCAAGCCTGATACCCAATCCCAACCCCAGCCTGAAGCATAGGAAACAACCTGTGCAAAAACCTCCGGTGCCTCCCCTCGCAACGATTCCCCAGCTCAACACCCGCCATCATCGCCAGAACAAAGCTCGAGAACCCCTTGACCGCCAGAAGCGAAGGCGGCGGGCTCAGACAGAGCGCAGAAGCGACGCCGAGAAACAACACCCCATGGGCCGCAGCATTGACCATTTTGGGGGGAAACACTCCAGGCTCAGTCGCGATTCCCTCGTCGGCGACATCGACAAGCTTCTCATCCAGAGATGCATGATTCGTCTCGAGAGAAGCGGCGGCGGGTGTGGACAACGCCTGACCGAAGCGAAAGATGGAAATCATCAACGGAAGACTCAACCCCATGCAGGCCAAAAACGCAGCACGGTCGACCGTCGGCTCGAGGGTGGGGGTGAACACAACCGTCGACCCGGCAGAAATGATGCCGCCAATAAGGGAAAGTCGAAGAGCAGCCTTTGGAGCAGCTGGCTCCTCACCTTCCTCCTGTGAAGTAGCAGCCGAGGGGATGGTAAACCGAAAGATGGGAAAAGTAACATAAGACCCCAAAAGCCCAGCACCAGCAGCCTGGAGAGCAACCCAGGCAATGCTGTGCAGCTCCTCCTTGGAGCTCGTGTACCCAGAGCTGGACCCGTAGATCACAAGCGCGGAAAGCTCCGTCAAGGCCAGCCCAACACCCATGATCACGCCCAAAAGGTGGATGCTCCATTTGTCTGCAATGATGAACCTCGCCGGGCGGGTCATGTCAAGGTTGATAACCCTAAACCGGCCAAGCTCCCACGTTGTGAATTGGACCATGTACAAAATGTACACCAGTATCGAGCCAATCGTGACGAACAGGCACACTCCATAAGTGTTGCTCTGAAGGGTCCAAACAATTGACACAACAGCAGCTGTTATCCGTAAGGCCCATACGAGGAAGCAGTTGACAGCAGCCATCCACCACGCCAGACGAGGCGCCATGAGATCATGGAGCTTGAACAATCGTCTGACATTGCCGAGAAACTCGTTCCAGAGACTGGCCCACATGAGGTAGAGCGGACGACGAGGAGCGCTGTAGGCCAGGATGGTACACATCGCAACGATACTAAGGATGTGATGGATAACCAACTCGGGCACAGAGCTCAGGTCTGGCAGCTCCTGGATGTAGAGGACGGCCCGGCAACCCCAGCACCATTGTTCCGCTGTGTTGAGTGGACGCACAAGCCCGTAGAGGTCCCCCTCGGCCGGGGTGCTCGCCAGGGCTGCTGTGCATGAGACAACCGAGATGACCTTGGCGATGGTGCCCAGCCAAGTGCTGAAGTAGAAGTTGTACCTGCGACGGATGTCCTCTCGAAGAAATTTGTCGAACTTGGGGTTGAACCGCTTGACGATGCCTTCAAGAACGTATCTGACCACGGCCCAAGCCGTTAAGCCGGCGAGGAACGGTATGAACGGAACCTCTGGTCGGTTGTTTGTGCACGTGGCGTTTGGATCCATGGTAAAGGACGAGTCATGCACCTTTGGATCAAAGAGTATAAGAGAATAGAAGGGGAGAAGGTAAAGAAGAGTAGAGAGATGGTTGATGATGAGCGAGCTGGAGCGTTGATATCTTCGATGAAATCGGTTCGAGACACCCTAGACGTGGGATAAAAGAGCCCGGGTCGAAGAATTGCACTCTTTCCTTCAACGTCCAAAGATCGCAGTCAAGTGGGATGATCAAGTGTGGTCAAGTGTTGACCGGAGACTCATCAAGGTGTGGACAAGACGCAAGGTGAGAACCCTGGCGGTCAAGCAAGCGGCGGAAACACGAGGCTTTGGGCGGCTCGGAAAGCAATACGACCTATTAGAGTTACGCCCGGAAACAAGAAGTCCGGTGCTGTGTGGGTTTGTTGTTGTCGTTGTAGTCCGGAGGTCCACTGAACGATGACGATGATTCTCAAGATAGCTCTCTTGTACTGAATGGCGGCTCAGCTGTCAGTCTACTATCCCGTGGCAAAGCGCCCCGGATATAGCAGTATGCTGTCTCATGTGATTAGATCGGATCGAGCTGATGACTTCTTCAGATCAGGCTCAGTTGCCCTCAAGATCATAAGTAAACAATGAAATATCAGACGGACGTATTCTCGTGGAAGGGTACCCCCACCCAACAATACCGGAACCTCTTGATTGGGCGTCACTGGCGTATCCATCCCACAGCCACGCGCAATTGTCCGGTGTTCAATAGTCCATGACCGGCCGGGTCTTGAAAGCCGCCAGAGTGGCTGTTGCGAGCCCAGATCCGCAGGCAATGGGAAGCATCGAATATCGCTGCTAGCTCCATCGATCTTCCGATTAGGTTCCAACTCCAAGTCAACTTCAAAACCAAGTAATCCAGCAATTTCTCGTGTTGTTTGCATTGTTGGGACCAGGTCGACACAGGAGGAAGTAGCCTTCTTATACAAAGGCGTGTCTCTGTCAATACGAGAGTGAATTGAGTTTCTGGTTTCCATGGTACGCCTTCCGCCCTTGGTTGCGTCTCAAGAACCATATTTCGACCATCAAGGTAACAGGCAGGTAAGTCCGCCACTATGGATAAGGAATCTCCATCAAGTCAGACGGAGCCGTTCTCCGGCCGAGGTTCCATTGTCATGCTCAAATCAACAGCGGCCTCAATCATGGCTGCGACGCCTACGCAGGATGGGGAACCGGGACACCGCCGTGTTTCTCGCACACGGCGTGCGGCGATATTCCTGTTTCTTCTCCTGATACAGTTCGTTGTTCATCTTGACATGACCTCGGTAGCTGTGGCCGTGCCGGTAGGGACTCTTCCCTGTGTTGACTCCAGCACCGCAAGACTAACAGCAAAACATAGGATATTGCGAGAGACTTGAACGCGACGAGAACGGAAGTGTTTTCCATGGGCACCATATACTACCTGAGCGCCACCATCTTCCAACAGCCCGTTGCAGAAATCTCCCATGTCGTCGGAAGAAAGCCAGCGTTTCTGCTAGTGTTGACTTTTGCAGCCGCCGGGACAGTCATCGCTGGAACGGCAAACAGTATCGCCGTCCTTCTTGCCGGCCGTGCTTTTCAAGGATTTGCCAACGCCGGCTCGGTTCTCTCTGCTATTATCCTGACCGACCTCGTGCCTATCCAGGATCGAGCCATCTGGCTGGCAACCCAAAATGCTGTCACCGCTATCGGTCTTGCCTGCGGACCAATCATCGGAACGGCATACATCAGGCTCAAATCTTGGGTATGTATCGTGCGGGATGCGAACCTGTCAGTGGCTAACATGTCAATAGAGAATGTTGTTCTTCATGAACCTTCCGCTGCTTGTCATCTCTGCTATCGGTCTGGCATTCCTGCTCGGGTTTGACAGACCTGAGCTAGGCATTCGAAAAAGTCTGAAAAGTGTCGACTGGATCGGTATCGGAATATTCATCCCGTCTGCCCTGTCATTCCTCTCGCCATTTGTCATGGCTCCGACGCTTTTCCCGTGGATATCCGTCCAGGCTTTGGTACCGTTAGCATCGGGCGTCATTGGGTTGGCGACACTGGCGGTGCATCAACGGTTCTTTGCGAGGCGCCCAATGTTCCGGCCCGAGATTTTCAGCAAGCATGTCACCGTCTCAGCCATCCTCGGCCTGACGGTCTGCGGCATCTGTCTGAACATACTCTTGTTCCATCTCGTCCTCTTCTGGGAAGGTGTGCGGGGCTATAGTAAGATGGAAACCAGCGTCGCAGTCCTTCCAGAAACAGTGAGCATACCCATTGCGGCCCTGGTGTGCGGCTTGGTGATGCGTCGGACGAATCGAATCCGGGAGGCTGTCTCGGTAGGCTGGCCATTAGCTGTTCTCTCACTCGGCCTTCTGTGGTTCATGGACGACAACACCCCTCTGCCATGGTTGGTCATCGTCAACTGCGGTGTTGGTTTGGCGGCAGGCATCTTGATGGCAGCGCTCAATGTTTCGCTTCTCGCGGCGACAAAGCGTGAACTTAACGGCCATGCAATTGCCATGGGCTTACAGGCCAGGTCGGCTGGAATGTGTCTTGGTATTGCCATTGGCACAACTGTCTTCAGCTACACCATGAACCAGAGGCTCCGGCAGGTAGGCGGGGAGATGAACTCTGAAGAAATCTTGAGAATGATTGAAGAGATCAAGCGGGATCCTAACTGCCGGAAAGCCATCATCGATGCTCTTCGCGTGCTTTGGGTCATTTGCTGTGCCCTGTCCGGGATAGTTGGTCTCTACAACTGCGTCTGCAAATTCCCTCTTCTGAGGGATCCCTCCGCCGAGGGCCCAGGCACAGAGAGAGTTGCAGCCAACGGACCGGAGAAGAGGGCAAACTCGAGCACCGTCGCTTCTCAGGACTCCAAAGTCTGATACCTAAGGGACGATAAAGGCATACCGAGAAACGAGAATTGACAACTGGGTGGCTATTTTGTTTACTTGGAGTTTATTGGTCCATCAGAAGCTTGTTGATACCCGGCATGACTGGCCAACTACATTGGGCGGCGTTCCGGAGCAACTTTGGGATAGACAGGTAGGTAATGATTTGATGCCCCATCAGATCACGATCTAACATAAGCACATATGAATACATGGCACAATGATCACGAATACAACACGATCAAGAACACATGCGTTTCAGCAGTATGGTGAGAGGACCACAGTCACCTTGGGACTAGTTTCGGCATACCGGTACTTCGTACTGGATGACTGCCGCCAGAGGAATTGACTCTTTCGAGTATCATCGTCGATGGGGAACATCTACGTCAGAGGGGTGGTCGCGTGCTTGAAGCTGGTTGACAGCTGACAGTTCCCAAAAGGCGGGGTGATTGGGCGGCCGAGCTGAGGCATCGGAGCAAGGGAAAGAGCCTCCCATTCAAGCGGTGCAACTCCGGGAAGGTGCACCGAGACACGTGAAGCATCAGTCATGGCCGAGGAAGTCGCTCAGCAATGCTCAACACCACCTCAATTCATTAGCACACCACTTATTTCCTGTCTCTCATTCATTTGCTTGTCACCTGTATACACCGTCAAAGGTACCGTTATCATCAATGACCTCAGCATCCAAAATCCACGTGGTTCATGTGTGAGGCCCAAGGCAGTGGTTTGTGCCACCCCACTTCCCTTGACGTAGGGCTTGCCGGCAATCTGAGACGAAAGAAATGAGGGTGGAGTGATGGAGAAGCTTGTGATCTTGTGACAAAATAAAAATAAAATAAAAAAAATCAAGAAAACGGTCCCAATAATTTCATTCTCCCTATTATTTCATTTTATCTCCCCCTGAAGATGTTTTGACACCAAACACCAAGGCGCCAGAGAGCCTCGAGAACCCCTGTCTTCCCTAGCTCGACAGCTTGGGACCAATGGGATGTAAAGGCTCACCTTCCGGAAACGGTGCAAGTGAAGCTAATGCCCCTGCTATCACCACTCTCGGGCCTTCCAGAAGGGCTTTGGAAGTCCAACCAACCACTCGAGGCCTGAGCGGCGAGCAGCAAGGGGTGTTGACGACGGCTTCATTTTAAGGCTTGGCTGTTGTGGTCACTCGGCGCTTTTTGCTTGCTAGGGCAGCTTTCGTTTCTGTTACGCTTCACCTAGTTCAACTCTTCGTGATCAGATGCGCCCAAGCGATGAATCTGAATCACTTCCATCCCTCTTCGAGAAGCATTTCCGTTCTTCGGGTTCATGGTGCCCGAGTGTGGCTTTCGGTGATGCCGCTTTGATGCCTTAAAGACTCATGTGCCAGAATTCTTTACCCTGGCGAAGAAACTCGGCGACCGTTTTTTGAAGATCTCTATGCCTGTAAAACGGGCACAGCGGTGTCTGGACGGTCACGCGGAGCGAGTGTGGGAGTGAAGATCACTTCTCACTCAATCTCCGGTTGAGTTGCTTCAGCATCGAGATACTCAGAGTGACATTCGATATATGAGGCTCTTCCTTGCAGCCGATTCACTCACTTCTTGTGCTGTGTAACATTTGGTGGAGCTCACCGTGGTGAGGAATGACAAGATGATGTCAATGCTGGTGGGTTTGGGCTGCTGCACCCGTCCCGGATTTGACCGCGTGGTCGGGACGATCCCAAGTTAAACATGAATTAATTGGCGTTTCTGATTTTTCGATGCGCATTGATTGACGGGGTTGACGGCATAGACCATGATTTGCAATGCATGGCCGTCAGAACTATATCCATCTACAACCTGGTCGGCAGGAGAAAAACAGATATTGGGTTGTTCAAAGCGGTCATTCGAACTCGATACCAGATAGCCAAGAGCACCTTCTAAAGTGCTGGTCTCGGATATCTTATCTATTATCGCAGTGGCTTCCGGCGCCGGCACCGGCACGGAAGGTGCGGGCCTCGGCGTCCGGGCGGACAACGACAGCATAAGAACTCCACAACATATAATCACAACAACAACCTTCATTCTACGAAATCATCGGCATCAAAACTCTCGGTTCCAAAACGGGCAAAAGAGTCTCTCCATTATGTGATTATCTTGCAGAAATCCGGGTCCTGATTGCCGTGTACTCTGCACGCCTCTATCCTCAGCCTTTGTACTTCGACATTGACACTCGTACCTCGCAAGATCTACCACCCACCGATCCGTGCCTTTCCACCCCTCACAGCAGCCCTAGCCCCAAGAAAGCCATCCAAGAGCCCAAGACTCGCTCTTCAAAGCCAAACGTGGAAAACTCGACGATCAATTTCCAATTTTGGGTAACCTGTCAAAACTCACCATGTACCCCCTCGCCAACCTTATTCCCAGTTTTTTTTTTTGGAGATACAGAAACGCCAAGCCGCGATACAACATCACTACTGCGAGATTCGGCATCTCCCAATGAAATATCCAGTAGACTGACGACATTTTGACCCCCTTTTTCTTTTGTCTCTTCACATGTACCAAGATATCGAGAAAGAAACGGCTTTCCCTGGCCGATGTTTTGTCGTGATCTCGATGACAAGTAAAGCACACCATCTTCGATTACAGGACTATTTGCTTGCCAACCAAAGTCTCAACTTCCAAGCCGGCAGTGTTGCATCCCGTTCACCCATTCACCAAGATTTGGACATTCTCAATTCCCAGTTCGACTTCGTGATGGGACCTCAACATCCCCAATCTGGATTGTCAAGATTCCCAGACTGCATTTTGCCCGCCGCTGTCATCCTCCCCCAAAAACCTTCCCCACATTCCTTCCGCCTTGCCTTGACACAATTTCGCAGCCAACCAACCGCCCGGAATTGGTCCCAGGCGTTCCCCGGATTGTGATTTCTCTGGTACCGGCAAACGTTGATTGTTGGTACATGGCACTAAATGAGGCGGAACGCAGGCCCAGCGAGCCGGAGCTTTGACCTTTCAGCTTTCCCAACCCTCAACTCTCACAGGTCAACTCACAAAGACATCCAAACACAGACAGGGTTTGGGAATGGTCACCGGCCAGCGGAAAGGAAAGGTAAGTAAGAGACACGGGAAAGAACGGGCACTCGGTCAGCCCCTCTTGGCCACCTTGTCTGTCATTGCCTGTTCTATCATCAAACAAATGAGGCGCAGACATCAAGACTTTCCAAGATATTCCATTTTGTAACGTTGCGGGCCTGGTTTGAATGAAAATCAAGAAATAAAAACGGACACCGAAATATTTTATTTATTATTCTATTTTATCTCACTGGCAAAAGAATAAAATAAAAGAATCTGGATTTAATGATTCGTCCGTCCAAACCCATCACAGATCAACACCCCAAAATTCCCCCATCCTTCTCCCCAAGCGTGACCATCCCCTCTGCACCCTCATCACATCTCGATTCCTCCACGATCGAGATACCTTTCCCCGTACCCATTCCCGTGATTAACAACAAGCATCAGATCAATTCCCCTTTTCTCTTTTTAAACCCCTCCAGCGTGACTTGAACCTGACAACCATCACTCTCCCAACCAATCAGATTTTTTGTGCTTTTTATCCCGCGCTAAAGCGGGTAGGTGGGTGAGGTGAGACATGATGACGCTGAGACTCTGGCCTTAACCGCCGGTAGTGGTGTGTTAGGCGCGGCGTTTTAAAAAGGTGAAAGTGACAGTAAAAGAAAAAAAGGGGGTGATGTTAATGCAAGACATTGTACGAGTCACCAGATAAATTATAACTTTCTTGCATATGTATACATTTGACTGCCGCCAGCCGAGCGAGTGTGTGCCGAATCCAAGAGCGCGGTAAATGGTAGGCGAGAAGGGGGTTGCATATGGGGCTGCAGGTTGCTGGTGGTCATCAAGATAGTTGCAACTCTGTAACAGAGACTTATGAAGGCATCAGAATTTTGCTCTAAGTCTAAGAAATATTTCCTTCTAGGATACCCCGATGACTTTCATCTCAATCCTTCCTCGTCTCCCCCCCTCCCACCCGTCTATACTTTCTCTTATCCCCCCTCCTCATCAACCTCTTATCCCTCGTCCCCTTCCCCCCCTCCCAATACCCACTGCCCCTCTTCCCAATCACGCTCCTTCCGCAAAACGCACAACTCTCCACACTGTAATTCTGCTCCCGTGAACACCACCCGCAAATCATCCTGTTCGCCCACTCGTTGATGTGCTCCTCAGCCGCATCGTGACACTTGTCACACGGATACACCTTTGAACAGCACGAAAACCGGAACCATCTGTAGCTCTTCTTGTAGTGCTGGCAGGACCCCTTTTCCGGGAGAGGTTCACCAGCGTGAAGACCCAGTTTTTCTGTCTTGCGGCGAGGACCAGAGGTAGGCGGTAGCCTAGTGTGCATGCCGGGGGCGTAGTCGAGGAATTTGACGTCGGGAATCTTGAAGGCGAAGCGGGCGTGGCATTCCCGGCAGATGTTGGTCGTTGTCTCGCCGCGGACGGAGACGAGGCCGAGAGAGGGGTGGGAGCATTTGCCGCATGCTGGGACAAAGGTGCTGTGATTGTGTCAATCAATATGTCTCACGAGAGACTAGAAAGCAGAATAAGACATACCTTGGTAACAAATCGGCAACTGTACACCCAGTAGCATCAATGAAGCCCGCCCTTGTGGAGTTCATGTGCACCAGCTCTTGCCGATACCTAACAGTAAAAGCAGTGGCACACTTTTTGCAGCTGCTCGCCTTATCCAGGTTATTCTTCAGCCCCGTGACTTCGTTCAGCGTCTTGCAACGATCGCACTTGACATTGAGGCTCAGAACCGACACCTGAAGCAGCTCAATCCCATGCAGTTCAATCGAAGGGAATGACATCGCTGTCCCCTTCTCAATCGTCCGAGTAGGCAGTGACGGCCCCCCCATTTCCTCGCCATCCTTCCCAAGCTCAGCACCACCCTCATCATCCTCATCCTCAGAGTCGTAGTTAGAAGATTCTGTCCCATCATCCCCAAACCCCCACTCCGGCGGCCTGGGAATAACATGCAAATGCCCCCTATCCACCTGCCCAACCCTCTCAACACTAGCAGCATGCTCCGCCTCCCTAACCTCAACCTCCTTCACCTTCCCCCTCCCCTCCTCCCCCTCCTTCCTCCTCTTCTCCCTCTCCCTCACCACCTCCCTAACCAACAAATGAATCCTCTGCGCCAACCAATTCACCATCGCCACCAACCCCATCTTCTCCCCCTGTTCACTCCCCTCCTTCTTGACCAACTCCCCCGCCTTCCTACTAAACAACTCCTCCACCCCCTCCGCCAGCTCCTCCCCTTCCTTCCCTCCCTCAACATCATTCAGCAACACCCTCAAATTCTGCAACGGATACAACAACGGCACAACCAGCTGCACCGACATGACCCCCTTCAACTCCCCCGGTAACTCGGCCCTCTTCTTCGAATCAAGAGGCAGCGTGTAAATAATCCCATCACTCGACCGGTGATAAAGCTGTAACCGCCCCATTCTTGCCTCGAGCTGTCTAACTTCCTGCGCGCGCCGGACTTTCGCCTCTGCAATCTGGGCTTGTGTGAAGGTCTCCAAGGGGATATAAGCTCTCCTAACAGGAGGCACAACAACCGGTTCAGTTTTTGACTCCTCCTCCTCCTCCTCCTCCACTCGCTGCCGATCCAGGTGTCTGGTGTCTTTAAAAATCGTCAATTTCACCGTCTCGGCCTTCTCCTCGCTCAGCAACCCCTCTAATCTCTTGTCAAGCCCATTTACCAGACTCAAGAGCGTCCCGCCTCCCCCCTTCCGTTCCTCAACCAGCTTGTCCCATCCCTTTTCGATGTTAATCGCGAAGCCTCGGGGGATATCAGAGTTTTTGACGTGTAATTTGGCGGGTGACTTGGGGTATTTAGAAGGAATGTGGAGGTCGCATTCCAGCTGGGGGAGGTCGAAGGGGAAGTCGGGGTCTGACGGGACGAGGTTGAAGTTGAGGGAGGTGCCGGTGCCGCCTGGCAACGAGGTTTCCTTGTGGGAGGGGTAGCGGCGTTTGAGCTGGTTGATTTGGTAGGTTCGGGTGTCGAGGGTTTGTTGAGGGGGGATGGGTTTTGGGACGACGCGGGAGGGGCGTGGGGGGGAGGTTACTGCTTGGGTGCTGTGGGTTGTGCTGGTGCCGGGTTTGGGGTGGTGGGGTATCATTATGTCGTCTTGTTGAACTGACGTCTCTAGATTTTGTTTTTGACAATAGCAAAATAAAAGAATGGTGTTTTGTTCGTTGTTGATGAGGTATTGACCGTCAGTGGTGAAAATGAAAGATGGTCGTTAAGTGAGCAGTGGCAACAGCGCCAAGACCAGTTGTTGTTGAATGAGACCAAACTGGAAAGCGTAACCCCGAGAAAGAATTAATAAATAAAAGCCTTCTATCCTTTTGAGTGGCAATCGAGCTTCTTACTCAAAATGAATCATACAGAAACGATTGCTAATGCGGCGATGTGAAGCTCTCGGCATGTGACTCAGATATCCGAATGTCTTTCGATTGTTCAAGGCCAAGAGCTCGCTGTTTCTGGAGTTCTCCGTGAAAGCTGCAGCACCACCCGACGTCAACTGTGGGGCTGCCGAATGTGGGGCTCTGAGGTGAGACTTCCACGCTAAGCTCATCTGAGACAAGGTGAGGCTCGGTGAGCTCAACACCATCACGACTTCTCCAGTGGTGACCCCCTGAGCCCCTTTTTTAAGTGTAACAAGGAATGTCTGGCGGATGAATGTTTATTCTTCAACTGTTGGGAGGTATTCTTGATGGTGTCTTCTTGGCGGACCAACAGCCAAAATCGGTTTCGGGCCTTTGCAGGCACACTAAACAAGGAGGTATGGTGCAAAGTCCATACAAGCGTACCTATCCCCATGTTTCGGTATGTCAAGGTTGACCTCAAGCCATGTGAGCACAGCGACGGCCCGGTAGAAACCAAACTCATCTTGGCTTCGGGAGAGATTCCTCAACCGAGCGACAAACCCGGCTCCCGTATACAGAGGTGTAAACCGTGGATGAACGGGAGGCATGGAGGTCTGGATATTCCGGATAAATCGTCTCAGTCGTCGGCACTTCCACGTGGAACGAGACAAGGTAATCTAGGTACCCGAGAAATTGGCGTTGATATATAAAACGAATTGTATTACTTGCAGCAACATGGGATGGGCAGCATATAAAGCTATCGGGCAGACTCAAGACAAGCTTATATTGCTCGGTGAGCCCTCCTGTCTCGCTTGTCGGATGGCTTCCGGTATTCCACCCCCGACGACTGAGCTTACCAGAACAACATCTTGTACTGGACTTTGGTTACAGGTCGTATCCTGAATAGTTATGGCAACAATCGCGATGGCTGCTAGTAGATGCTAGAAGTATCATTGATCTCTCTATTTTTCAATGTAGCAGGTCACTTTACTAGGTACGTATGATATCGGAGTCTCGATTGCTATTCCACCTACAGTATGAGGAAGGAAGCTTACGAAGTCAAAGTTCAATTTCCCTGCGTCCAGAATGCATTCACCTGTCGCATGCATTTCATGGCAGCCGCACTTGCAGAAGCAAATAGCTTTGAAGCCAAAGGTGCTGCCCCAGGGACAAGTAGGCATGTACTGGACACTGATGGAATGTAACTCAGAGATCCCGGCCTTGTCCCTGGATATGTCTTTGGTACTTCTTCGAAAATCAATCCAACAATGGCCAGCCATGCTTTGCCGAGTTCCAGCTGCATGGCCAAGCAGTCATCAATCCCAGGCCAGTCGATATTCCAAAAGTCCAGCATATAATAGCCGAGTATGGCAGATTATGAAGGCTCCCAACCACGTAACGGAACTAGTTGGCATGGTGCTCAATGGCTGGTTGTCTTGCGATCTGTAAAACTCGACGTGATCAGAGTCCTAAGCCTTGCTGTGTTGGAAGAGATAAACATTAGAGAATAGAAGAAATTGCCGAAAAGAGAGCTCAAATCAACCGCATATTCGTATGCCCAGGTGACAGCTGGCCAAGAGGATCAGCAATGGAATGGCGGTTGAATGCGGAACTACCAATTGGCCTCTTCTGAATCCGTCTTCAGCCTCTGCATACGATACCAACATGATCGAAGATCACAATCCCTAGCGTCTCGTCGCAAAGAAGAAAAGAAAAATCCCGAAGTCTGTCAGCGGTGGCAAGTGCAGCATCAAGTGCTGAACGTGCAGACGCCATGCAGCTGCATCTGAGGCCTCAAATCGGACTCATCGACCTCACTGCCGGTTGCATGGCTCCAAAAGGTACCAAAAGAAAGAAAATGCCTGGTGAGAGATAAAACAGCAAGACATGTGGTCCAACTGCCACGTCAAGCCATCCATCTCCCATATTGGCCCGACCTACCTTGCCCACCTATCTTTACACCGAGGCGTGAGTGGTGACCTGCCAGTTAGACAGCGTGTCCAAGTTCCAGCCCCGTCCGGGCCAGCACCAACTGATCGTGACGACAGCCCCCGATTGACGCTTCAACTTTCTGACAGGTGATAAGGTGATGATGGCGGACGGGTGAGAGTGCGGCAGGTTTGGCGCCCAACCGCAACCGCGCGGCCGGGACAGCGTCATGTCATGTCATGTCTTAAGCGTTCCTATCAGTGTCTGTACCAGAGCCCTACTGACTTGACGCCTCCTTTTCGCAGCGCTGTTGTTCGCTAGTCATGTCAGATATCAACTTTGTGAGCGGGTTTTGGCAGCTTCGGCAGATAAGGGATAGGATGAAGGGCAAGGCTGCTTGCTGCTTGCTTCCTCGTGTTTGTTGCCCGGCTGGAGTGACCCAGTTTGTGTAGGTGAGGCATGCAATGGTTGCTGCGAGCAGGGTGTCGTGACTTGGGAGAGCGGGAATGTATGACGACGGTGGTTGTCAAACAAGAGGCACAATGATTTGACAGTGATAGCATTGGCATTTCCATTCGTCGGTGCTTGTCAAATCCCCTGCTTTCGGAAGAAAAGACGGTCAGTAACTTCAGCCTGGATTCGGGATGGCAGCCGGCGGAATGGAATTGGAACTCCATTTCCATAGGATGGCTTGATATCATGGATGGATGGATGGATGGGGAACGGGGCTGCGACTCACCTGGTAAAAGAGTTGATGAGTTGGCAACCAGATGACCAGCATTTTTTCAAGGTACCATGGCCCGAGGGGCTGTCGGCCACACACCAACTTATCCCTAAAGTAGAGCTTTTGGGGCCGGGTGCGGGGGGGCGTCAAGCTCTTGGGGAAGGGCGGGACGGAGGAGGGATAAACGGGACGGCGAAGCGCGTCCATGTGATGGTTAAATCGTCCTATCAATATGCTTCTAGAAGTCAGTTGTGAGTTGACCGCGGGATAAATCATTTTATTCGAGTATTTATTTCCAGTCTATTATTTGATTTGCCGTTAATTTTCATGTGTGACTTTGCGATCAAGATTTGGAACGTCACCGTTGATGACAAAGAGCTTCTCGTGGCCGGTCTTGCTACCTATCGGAGCAGCGCCGGAAGCCACGAGGTGCTTACATGTCGTTGCATATACGGCGACACACATGATGAAGAGGTTGCTGAGAGTATTCTGAAGAAGAATGATGGCATTGAACTATGGGTGTCCTGAGATATCTTTGGTGTCTTCAATAATGTCTGGCAAAGGCAAAGTCCAGCTATCTAATTTTGGCCACTTGCAGACCATTTCAGCTCGTCCATCACTTCCCTAGGAAACCAAAGTATGGCTGAGCATCCAGCACCGCCTCACTCTTGTTGGGCTGAGTGGCTTGGGGTGTTACAGATCGAAAGCTTCCGTTTTGCGCGGGGTAGCTATCGTCAGTATTCCCACCACCTGACAACTCCTCACCGTTATCTTCAAGCAAAATAATTCCCATAGAATTTATCTCATTTTATCCTGCCCACCATCAGTAAACTCCAGCAACACCAACAGTGACTTCGGGAAAGGTACCACTACGAAAGCCTTGGACCCGGGTGGCACCCCATCAGCATGACATGAACAACCTTCACCACCACCACCACCACCACCATCAAACTTGTTTGTTCCCGCATATCGTGGGAAAAAAGACAATGACCACCCTAAAAAATGGTAGTCACCTTCTTCCCTATCAGATTGGACCCTAATGTCTCACCCCCAGTGCTTGTTCCCATTGTCGGTTTCACCTGACAAACCCGCCAAGGGAGTCGAGATGCTCTCAACTCGAGGGCATGACTTCAGACTCAAACCCCAAGGTCTGGACCCCCATTGACGTGGACATCACCCAGACCCTACAGCAAATGCAAGCAGTCATCTCCCCCAAATGTCGTGCATTTTACCACGTCTCCACTGCATACTGCACTTTTCTTTTGCTCTGCAGCAACGGAGATCAAGTCACTCACTCCTATCATCTATTCCCCATCCTGTTCTCCAACAGTCTTGTCCCCCACCCATGACCATCACAAACTAGTTTACCCCTTTCCAGTGGAACAAACAGCTCATCACCATCCCCCCTTTTTGTTTACCCATTCCACAACCACTCCCCGGCAGGCATCTGTTTCCTCCTCGAGACAAACACCAGCTAGATAGGTATTCTGATCCATCACACACACTCTCCCCCTCTCTCAACATCGAAAGAACCATCGTCACACATCCACCATATCCCCTCCCGGTCTACCATTCCCAGATTTTCGTGTCCCCAATCCCTCCAAAATGACAAGCACACGACATCAAGTGCGTATCCACAGCAGATAGATACCCACCCGTAGTATCACCATCACACAAAAACACCTTTCAATAACTTCTCCTGCCAAGAAGCGGGGGGGGGGGGGGTTGTTGTTGTTGTTGGACTCCCCTTATAGCTTCTGTTTTCCCATGGCACGAATACTACTTTATGAGATTTTACCCAAAGATTCGTCACGAGGTACACATCGTAACGTGGTTGTGTACGGGGGCATCACCCCACGTTGATATCATGTACACCAGTAGAGGCTCATGATGTTGGTTCATGGTAGTAGTCATTTGCACTGATATTCTTCCAAAACCAGTGAAATAGTTACGAAAGAGTACAACGACCTAAGCAAAGCGAGCCCTGGAGGCAAGCCTGTGTCATGCTAAAATATATAACTTGTATATACTTGGATGGAAGTCCTGTTTTGTGTAGCCCATCTTCCGTATATCAGCTTTTGTCCTACATAACAAATCTCAAAAGGGAGCGACATCGGCGCAAGATCAAGCGAGCATTAGTAACTCCGCAACAGTCAGGAATACCATAATCAGGGGCTGCAATGCTAAAGCCATAATGTCCATTCTTCACCAAGATCAGTCACCCAACAAGGAAGGGATATGTCACGAAGCTGGGGTGACGACCTTTCTTGCCAAAGGTTTGCCCTTGAGATAAAAGTACCCAAATGATAGTAATCCGCTTCAAACAAGTCTTCCAAGATCGCTCAACACAACCCTACCAGCCATGACTTCCCCGTCACCAATCCTCATGCTCACTCCGCCTTAAGGACGGCATTCCGGTCAGCAAACGGGTTGTCATCTTCCTCTTCCTCCGAGTCTTCATCATCGGACGGCTCAACGCGGCGTTGAATAGACGGTTTGGGTGCAGATGGCCGTGGTGGAGCCGATGGTCGAGCAGGAGACGTGATGTTGAGACTAGCCATACCGGCAACTGGAGATCTGGGCCTCGATGGCGAACCTGGCTCTTTGCCTTTTTGCTTTTCTGTCGCCACTAAAGAATGGGTTAGCATTTGAATCAGACCATTGCAATGGAGAAAAAGTACATACTTCGGTACAGGTGCGCTTGCTCGGCAAGTTCATCGTCAGAATCACTGTCCGCATCAATGGAGCGGTCAAGCTGCTCAAACGTCATGAGTGCCGTGACGAGCGTGTCGTTTGCGTATAGAAGGCTGCCGAGCCATTCCTCGGATTCCACATAATGGATCTAGACTGCTGTTAGACAATAATCTGGCGAAACTGGATGTATCAGTGGACTCACATAACGCAGAATCTTCCTGCGAAGACTCTTACAAGCCTCAAACCGCTGCACCGCCGCCTGATTTTCCGAGATGCGCTCCTTTTCTCGGTTGATGGTCTGCAGTGTGTTGGTGAGATTGATCGAGGCAATGGAGGCTTCGGCGATATGGGCCTTCATCTGCTCCTTTTCAGCCTCGAGATTGAACGGCTGGCGTCTCTTGCCCTTCTTATCCTTCTTTTTCTTGTCGTCCTTGGAAGTATGGCTAAAAGATTGAACGGTACCGGCTGTCCTTGTTTCAAGGCCATGGCGAGGTCCAGACTGGGATGGACCTGCCGCCGGTGGGCTTCTGAGTTCATCGTCATCATCCCCAAAGGGGTTTGATGTTTCCTTGATCACCTTGGACCTCTCCTGAGTCACTACCTGCTTCCTCTTAGGAAGCTCGTTGTGAAGAGTAGCAATCTGTTCTAGTCCGCGGACGCCCTTGTATTGGACGGCCCAGCTGCGGAAGAGCTCTGTACACTTCTTCCTCACCTCCGGGTCAGACAGCTGAGCCTTGCCGCAAAACCGCAAACGCTCAAGCAGAGCCTCGTCAGCAAAGCTTCGCTGGAAGCGGGGACCGGCATTCTGAATGAGACCGTCCAGTAGGGTGAGGGCGCGGAGTTGCCGGTGGAGATTTCCGTACTTGAGCTTCTTTCTGATGGCGCGTGCGGCTTCTGAAGGACCTGAATCCTGGAGGTTGATGACTTCGACGAGTTCTGGGATTCCACTGAGATCATTTTCCGGTATCGCCTCACTCGTCAGATGTTCGATGGTGACGGTGACGGCCGTGTAGGGTTTCTTTTGGGAGAACATGATGGTGGAGAGTAGTTTATGTGTGCCGGATCACTAGCACATCAGTCAGCTATTGCTTTCACATGTCGAGTTGTTTCACATCACGTCACTCAGGGAGACGGAACACACCCTGCTGAGATGTCAACTCATCGAGATGCTAACCGAGGTTTAGAAGCGGTATTAGATGGCCTTCAGAAAGAAGCAAAAGATGAAAAATCCCTTCAAGCGACGTAAATAGCAAAGTTCGGCGAGACGATAATGAGGCTCCGGGCAAGCGTCCTGTCAAGGCCGGCTTGGGCGCACCTTGTGGTTGTTGCGCGATAAGATAACACTGGAGATGGCGGGGTAGCTTGAGGGCAGTGAAGTGCTGAGCCCCCTCACACAACGCTCAGAACACCTGGAGGAGAAGAGGTTGACGCGAATATTGTACGCTCACAATACATTGGATATGACACGGTGGAAAGTTGGCCATCAACAGACGAAAAAGCCGTTTCAAGTGGCTGCAGCAGGCAAAGGTGTCACATTCCCGGGAAACTCGCATCATGGCAACTGCCCCGCAACTCCTCGGTGATCATCGTCAATGGCGCCGAAGCTTGGGCCATTCAACAGCTCCTGATTGCGCCTGCCAAGCACAGTCAGCTGTTAGGCGGCTGCAGCTGTCAGCCAGCTGTCTAGTCGTCTCAGGGGCCTTGCCAGGGGGGAGTTGGACAAGATAGGAAGGAATGACTTACACGCAAAGGCAAGACCACCCCACGAATCGCACAAATCTGAAGAAAAAATGTGTGGGAGAATGGCGGAGACCAAATTTCACTTTCTTGAGGAATACTTTTCGGGTCTCTCTGAGGTCTGTCACAGCCGGCTCTCTTGGCCTTTGTCACAAACCTGCGTCGACAGAATACTCGCACTTTCTTAAAGCAGTGCACACCGGGACAGAGGCTGGTGACGATGGAGCAACGGCAGTCTCAGCTGGCTGGGAAGGTCGCCAAAACGTGAGTCGTGTCCACCATTCCCACGCTTCTTTAACTCCACTAACTGACATTGCAAAGGCTACCGAAATCAAGACATGCCCAGACTTCGGTCTCGCACCAGAACGGAGGCCTCTTTCGCCCAGAAGAGTTGGGTTCGGAATCGAAGGACCCCTACGACCTGTCCGAAGACTCTCAAGATGATCACGAAGAGCTCGGGCTCCGGCGGCCCGCGAAGAAAGCACGGCTAAGCTATGTTGATCGCCCTGCCCATTCGTCTGCACAGAATTACCCAAAGAATGCCTCCGTCGCCGTCGATTATCCGACGTCTAAGCTGACGAGTGAGCTAGCCAATGCCTCATCCACCGTCAACTTGTGGTCCTTTTCGACCACAGACGATTTGGATGCCGCAAACCCCGGGTCGTTGGCAGCGACGGTCTCCAAGCTGGACCAGTTCATCGATGAGACCTACCTTGAACAATGTCATCCCGCAACACCTGGGACAACTCTCCAAACAGACGCCAATGGTGTGCTTCCTAGCGCAAGGCACACTATGAGTTTGTGTTCTCTTCCAGACTCAACTCGAACATGGGGACATAGCGAGAATGGCAACAAACAGGAGGATGGTCCTGCCAACCACAACGGGCCCCCACGCAACCAGGAAACCCAGGAACCACCCTACGCAGATTGCAACATGTTTGACCCTCGAGGTGTCGCTGTCAATCTTATGTCTTTTTCCAACATGCCGAAAGTTGAGGGCGAAGACGAAAGCTACTCGGTGGCGTCGCTCGATGAAGAGGATTTGGTGAAGTTGGCAGACTCGATCGACCGACCATCACGCCAATCACCACCGACCAGCGTGCTACGAGACATGAGCAGTATCTCGTCTGTGGGGACGTACGATCCGGACCTTAAAAGGTCTTTTCACGGCAAGCCTGCAGAGGGGCCAGAAGAGGATGAGGACCTCATGGACTCAGATATTGATTGGAGCCCGATCGTGGACCAACTAGCCTCACAAGCCAGGCCCCATTCCGTTGACCCGCCTAAATCTCAGCCAGTACCTGAAATTTTATCAACTCATTCGCAGAAACCTGAGTTGGCTCCATCTCACCAGCTTGTGGTTCGGCCATTCAATCGACCGCCCTTCCCATCGACACTTCGGGACAAATCTCCCGTGTGCGGACTCTCAAATAACACCGTTTCACGCACTTGCTTCCGCCTCGGGCATCTCATCGCGGAGAACGTTCGGAATTCATCCCAAAACCGAGATGTCGTGTATGAGCTCTACGCGCGAGTGAACTACTCATACCGAAACCGACCCTCTGCCACTCAGATTCCACTCTTCAATGTCATCAAACATGACAACTCGTTTCGAACGCAGCACTTTCAGTTCATGGACCTGTGGAAAGATTTGAAGCCCCATGTCTGGGGTGTGTTGGAGAATTGGAGGCCCGACGGGGTTCTTGATAAACTGAGTAGCATCTTCCTTTCGGCTGGACCACCTCCGTCGCAATTCTCGCAACAAAATGAGGTCGAGCGTGAGAGAAAGCTGTGCCGGTGTATCTGCCGCATCTCTAAAGCGCCCAAGGGGGCGTCTCAGGCTGGTGGGCGGAATAAGATCAACAATCCTGAAATCGGAGGTTGGTCTATGAAGGTGTTGTGGATAGAAGAGGTTGGGTGGGATGCTATTGAGAAGATGAAGAGCATTATTTGTCAGGAGTGAAGGGTGATGAAAAGGAGGATGAGGAGATGCGGATTGACTTATCAGGGAAGGGTATGGGGTGATAATTTGCTGGACATGGAAATCTTTGCTTATTTGTGGGGGAAATGACTAAGTGGTGATGGATGAGTTTATGATGAGATTATAAGTCATCTCTTGTAATTCAGTTTTACCTGTTTTTGATCCTCGCTCTCCAAGTCTTAAGAGTCCTAGCCTTTCCAATCTGCATTCGTAACCTCTCTACCTCTGGTCCTAGCTTTTCCTATCTCTGTTCCTAGTAGCCTCTGTCCTTGATTCTATTTTGTTTGCAGGCTACTGGACTCGTGATTATGGTTGAAGGGCTGTTATGATCGAGATCTGGGGAGGTCGAATGGAAGTCGCGGGGCGGGCTAGGTAGATAGCCACTTGATTATCTTTAATAACAAGCACCATGCACAGGTATATCGTGATGTGGTACAAACTGGGAGCATATCGACTACCTGGATAACTTCTCGAGGTAAAGAAAATCAGCCCGATCTGCATTTTTGCACCTGTCCGATTGGAAGAGCAGGAGCCCATGCATGCAAGCCACCTGGCATTGCGTGCTATTACAGAGGCTAGGGGTGAACTTGCGTTTCTGCTGAATGAGGTATGGCCATCATCATTTGACACCCACTATGAAGAACGCTCGTCCTAACCGGGTGTTAGCTGGAAACATTACGGGTGATCCTCGCAAAGATTGAAAGACTGTTAAAGAGATTCGACGCAAATTCCTCGTCTCCGGGTCCAAGCTCAGGTCAATCAGAGGACGGGACCTGGTCCGCATCTTCCGATGATTTTTCAGACCTGAAAAAAGCAACTCTGGAGCTTCAAGTCCTGGTCTCCGATCTCCAAAGCCTCCACGACAGCTGCTTTGGTGGGACAGATGTCAAGCATGCGAAATGGATGTGGAAAAAGAAATAGGTGACACATCTCTGTGAGCGTGCCCGAACTATTCACCTACAACTTCAACTTGCCGCTTTAACTATATCGATGGAGGAACCTGAGTGAGCGTTTTCCAGGCTCTCATTACTACTATCCTTTCAGCGAAACTGATTTTGAAGCTGCCAGGAAACAACACCATAAAATCATGCTCGAAATACGGGCAGTGACTATTCATAATCATTCCGGGATAGCAAAGCTGTTACAGAGCCACGCTTCAAACCCAACTATCGTCCCAGAAGCGTCAGCAAATGGCGATGCAGACTCCGCATCTACCGAGATATTAGTTCATACACCCACGTCACAAAGCCTCCCGGAGGGGTGTGCTCAGATTGGCCTGATAACTGTCTTGTTGAGGGCTGCTGAGCAATGCACACGGGATTGCAGTTGCCGATGTCATACCTCGAGGAAGCAGGCGCGGTCTTCCTCATGGCTAAGGTCAGCTATCGGTTCCTTCATGCTCGAGTACGACATCAGCGCCATTACAAAAACATGGAAATGCGATCGCCCGGGCTGTCAACGTTCACGTTCGTCAACAAGCTTTGAGTGCAACTTTTCTTCATGGCTTTATCACTATTATCGTGGCTTCAGAATGTCGATTGGGAGCATGGGCGGCTATGGTGCACATTTACATCTTTTAATTTCACGCCAAGCTCCTTATTATGGGGAACTTGTGGATTTCTTGTATGGGGAAATGGACTTCCAGCGACTTGAAATACACTCAGAAGCTGGTGCTCTATATTACCCAAGTGACCATGTGCCTACGTTTGGCGAGCCTATGATGAATGTGAGTGCCTTTTCGTGGTGTTACTCTACATCGGAATGTTGTTAACCACTGCGTTACTTAATTCTACGTGGCGTTGATATTTTTGGGAGATCTAGAATTGCAAACTTTGGTAAATTACTGGGAACGACTTTTTCCAACTACCGGACTTCCAAAGTGAGCGATGAACCTCCGTTCAGTTGCCATCCCTACCTTATGCTTCATCTCGCAATACGTACCGTTGTTTTGGTAACTAATGCATGCAAAGATCCAGCATAAAAGTAATTCATCTTGTTCGAAGCCGTGGCTTCTATCCTCCCTCGACAGATTTTACTTCCACACGTATTACCTCCACCCGTGAAGCACTGTTCGAAGAAATCATGATTCTGTCGGGAGAAACAGATGATGTTGTTTCATGGCCATTACACAATGCAATCCACACTACTGACGACGTTCATTCTCTTATAATAGCGCACCAGGATGCTATCAACATGCCAGACTCTTGTGGCTTAACACCGTTCGACACAGCGGTAGGTGCACACGCACATGTCGCTATGAAAGCTTTGATCTGCCATGGGGCAAACATCAATTACATCAACGAAATTAGCGGCAATACTGCACTGCATAAAGCTATGCTTGTTTTGTGCAAAGAATGCGTGGGGATCCTCCTCGATGCAAACTGCGATGTTGGTATTTACAACAACGGAGGTTTCTTGCCATTCACTATTTATTTGTAAGTATAGTCCACCACGATTGGGATAGACGAGAAGAGATTCTTAAAATTACGGCGCTGCAGCATCCTTGGCTGGTGAATGCCTTGACAAGGGATCTTCACATACGCTCGCCTCTAATAATATTAGCTGGGAATCCTCAAGTCGAAGCACGGAGTCTCAGCTTGATCTTGGCCTTTCTTTTTCAGGGCCGCTTTGGAGTGGATCTCGAAGCTCGTGATGATTCTGGGAGGACAGCTGCACTCGTGGCTCTGCGACAAGGCAACCTCACATGTCTGCGACTTTTGGTTGAAGCTGGGGCTCGACTGGATGTAGTATACAAACAGGGGAACATCCTCCACATCGCCGCTGTCTATTCCAATGCCAGTACACTACAGTACTTACGAAGCCAGAACGTGGAAGTCAGCTGGGTTCTTGGGGTGGGGAACCAATCCTGGACCGCGTGGCATTGCCTTCGAGATTGCATGACGTTCACCGACTCTGAGCTTTCCGATACGGGGTGGCGGCGGCCCTCAGTAGTCGAAGCTCATGAGTTTGCACTGTTGTACAGTGAGGTGAGAGACAGGTGCCTGCAAAAGGAGCTCGGGTTTTTGGAGGAAGTGATGGAGGCACTGGCTCGGAGGGATGGCGATGCGGCAACGAAATGCTTGAAGCCTCTGATGGAATATATGAGCGCAATGGGGTGGGATTGGCCATATGAAATTTATTGGGTCGTGGTTCTTCAAATCAAGGACAGATGTGGGATGCTGCAACTGAAGCGATCGAAGGAACGAGTGGATGTTTGTCAGGTGGACATGCGGACTTCACCTTGGAGATATTGGCCTAGCTTTGATGACAAGCCAGATCAAGAGGACTATTCAGAGGTTTACAAGCAATTTGACGAGTTGCTTGTGGAAAAGTATGGCGACAAGGCGGTTTTGTTTTACGACAATGAGATAAACGAGGAGACTGACACCGCGGAGGAATGGCATGAGGCCCAGGAGGAGGTAGCCAGCACTGATGAGGAGCTGGAAAGCGACGAAGAATGAGTAGGCTCCTCTTGGGGTGAAGTACGATGTACGGCTCCCATGTACGAATATTTTTCGCATCTCATACCACAAAACCATGGAGCTGATTGAGGGCCAGACTGCACCTGGATCCTTATGAAATTCTCCACCTTGTCGACAGAGTAATGAGGTATATCGCAGGACTTCAAATGGCCTGATGTTCGAAATTCTTAACAGTGCGCCCCTTTACTTTACCGGCATCTCGGCAGAAAATAGATACCACCCTGATTTTCCTTCTCTTTCATCTGTTCTATGAGTGCTTCTCTTATCTATTCGGTGAATGCGACTTTCCAGCTGACCTGATGTAAACCGCAACCTCATGAACCTTTCCCAGCAAACAATCGATGACATCGTGTGGTGGGGACATCGTTCGACCCTGTTCCTTACACCCCACATTGGCGTGCTCATAGGGCTGAAGCAATCAGGGTCATTTCAGCATTCTTCACCAGGCAAAACATTTCCCATGAAGGTTATTAGATCGAGAAAAGCTTTTTGCATAGTATGCTGGGAATACCTTCAATCAACATCAGAAACGGTTCAACCCGAGAACCGCGCGGCTGAACTCGACCGACGTCATCTGTGGACAAAGGGAGCTTGGACCAGGTGGGGTTCTAGCGCACCTTGGCAAGGCAAGTTCCGACACAGTGGGGGAACCCCCCTGTGTGGCCTGTCATGTGCCGTCATCACCCACCTCAGCTGCTTGGGGCCTTTAGAAGGAGCGCGCGGCTCAAAAATCGTTGAGGTCATTGTGTACGACCCTGTGGAAAACAACCGATCAAGGCATTGAAACAATAAAAATGGAGACGAGCTCGCTTGCGCTGGACACCTCAAAACAGCCAGCTCCCCGAGTTGAAACTGCTCCCATGACCCTGAACCGAGGCATCTCAACCCGGCAGCTTCTTTTCTTTGACACATCCTAAAAGCTTCACCTGTGTTCCTTCTCAACAAAATTCAAAACGCCTCCTTGGCATACCATACTTTTCTTTGACGAACGTAACCAACCGTCCAATTACAAGCCGATTGTCTTACACGGCCCCCCAGGTCACGCTACCAAAAGCAGCCTCGCCGTATATGCAAGCCACAGTTTGGCCGACTTACACAAGTCAACTTTATTGAAAGCCGAGGTATCGATACCACAAGCTTTGGAGATTGGGGCGTTTGGTAAGGACAAGAAACGAGCTTTTAGGTTCTCCGGATTCCGCCAGTTTGGCTAGTTAACCAACGGACTTGCAGAGGTGTTTTCGACCAACTTGGAGCAAACTAGCTCTGACAAGCTTCGACTCGCAAGTTTGACAGCTTGCCGGTTACACGACGCAGTTCAGACGACCGCTGTCTGCCTTCTTCGCCTACCTGCGAACCTATTACATCTCACCCTGTACCTCTCCCTACACAGGGTAACAACTCAAAATGCCCACCTCCTACAACACCTCCCCGATCCCCCTCAGGAAGGTCCAACACCCGCCTTACACAATCCCGGTGCCAAACCACCCTCAAGTTCCCAACGAGACCATCCCCCGTCGTCATCCCAAAGCCCGCGATGGCCTCCTCGAGCGCCCCGCCCCGGATGTTAATACTACCTTCGACCTGTTGAAGCGCTCGGCAAAGCTCTACCCAGACGAACCGGCCATCGGTAGCAGAAAGCTCATCAAAGTCCACAAAGAGAACAAGAAAATCCCCAAAGTGATCGACGGAAAAGAGGAGCTGGTGGACAAGGAATGGACCTTTTTCGAGCTGAGCGACTATGGGTATTTGACCTACGGGGAGTACTTTAAGCAGGCTCTCGAGGTGGGAGCAGGGTTGGTGAAGCTGGGTTTAAAGGAGAAGGAGAGGGTGCATATTTTTGCTGCCACCAGGTAGGTTCACTCCGTAATAACATGATGCTGGAAGGTATTAACAGTGAAAATAGTCCCGAATGGCTAACTCTCTCCCACGCCTGCTCCTCCCAATCCCTCACCATCGTCACCGCGTACGACACCTTGGGCCCGTCGGGAGTAGAGCACTCACTGCTGCAGTCAAAAGCCTCTGCTATCTTCATCGACCCTCACCTTCTCAAGACAGCGAAGAAACCGCTCGAAGCAGCTGGTGATCAGATTAAATTCTTGATCTACAACAACAACTCGCACCAACCAGTCCCCGACTCTGAGATTGACTCTTTCAAATCTGCCCATCCAGATCTCAAGGTGTTGAGCTTTGAGGAACTGCGGCAGCTGGGGCAGGATAACCCCGTCGAGGCGAACCCGCCAAAGGATCCGGAAGAGGTCTACTGCATCATGTACACCTCTGGCAGCACCGGACCACCAAAGGGAGTACCAGTTAGTCATGGGGGGTTTGTTGCTGCGGTGGCGGGGTTGTTTTCTGTCATGGAGGAGAGTGTCTCACAAAAGGAGTATGTTCTTGCTTATCTCCCTCTGGCGCATATCTTTGAGTTGGTGTTGGAGAATCTTGCCATATTTGTTGGGGCTACTCTGGGGTACGGCAGCCCACGGACGCTGTCCGATCAAAGCATGAGGAACTGCTACGGAGACATGAGAGCTTTCCGACCGACGGTCATGGTTGGTGTCCCCCAAATCTGGGAGACCGTCCGGAAGGGAGTAGAAGGAAAGGTCAACAGTGGTGGGGCTATCATGAAGAACCTGTTTTGGGGGGCGTATGCGCTCAAGGACTTGATGGTCAGGACTGGGTTACCTGGTCAAGGCATTTTGGACAAGCTCGTCTTTGACCAAGTCCGGGTTATGACAGGAGGCAGACTGAGGTTCATCGTCAATGGAGCGAGTGGGATAGCCACCGGTACGCAAAAGTTTATGAGTTTGGTTGTGGCGCCGATGATGAATGGGTATGGGCTCACCGAGACGTGCGGGAATGGAGCACTTGGGTGCCCGTTGCAGTGGACGACGGGGGCGATCGGGCCTGTTCCTGCTGCGGTGGAGATGAAGCTTGTGAGCTTGCCCGAGCTGGATTATGTGGTTGATCACCCTACCAATCCGCCCCAGGGAGAGATCTTGCTTAGGGGGAAGCCGGTTCTCAAGGAGTATTTTGAGAACCCGGAGGAAACCGCCAAGGCTGTCACAGAGGATGGGTGGTTTAGGACGGGAGATATCGGGCAGTTTGACCCGGATGGACATGTGAGGGTGATTGACCGGTTGAAGAACCTGGTCAAGCTGCAGGGAGGGGAGTACATTGCGCTGGAGAAGCTCGAGGCGGTGTATAGGGGTGCCGCGTATGTGCAGAACATCATGGTGCATGGGGACAGCGGGAGCCCGAGGCCGATTGCGGTTGTATTGGCGAATGACAAGGCGCTGGCGGAGAAGGCGAAGGAGTTGGGGGTTGGTGAGGCGGATATGCATCGCGACAAGAAGGTGAGGGATGCGGTGCTCAAGAGCTTGCAGGGGGTGGCGAGGAAGAATGGGTTGAGCTCGATGGAGACGGTGGCGGGGGTTGTGGTTGTGGATGATGAGTGGACGCCGAATAATGTGAGTTTTTTCCTTTTGACAGAGTACGAAAAGAGAACGGATGGCTAATGATGAGGTGTAGGGTCTTGTGACGGCGACGCAAAAGGTCAACAGGCGGGCGGTTAGGGAGAGGTACAAGAAGCAGATTGAGGAGGTTGTGGGGAACAAATGAGTGATGAACGGGGCGTTCTCTTGTCTTTTGTTGGTTTTCAAGCCGATGTGCATGCTGGGAGGACATTGCTATGGAGTTTTGGAGTGCATGTTTATTTGATATTTGATGTTAGTTAGGATTAATCAATGGAATTACTTTACCTGAAGAATAATGCGTCATGGTTGGAAGCAATGGATTTGAGGATATGAATATTGCCCTGGTTCTATTGAGGGACTTTGTAAGTTTTGAACGTCTAGTTATAACTTGTGGACAATTTGTGTTGTCAAAAGCATTAAATGGAAGAAAGCCGTGGAAGTCAACTGTAACGAGGATCCATTGATTCAAGATGAAGAAACTTGAAGTGAAGTATGCTGTCGTTGATTATGGGAACAGAAACCATCAGATTTTCGATTGGTATCACTAGCAACTAAACAACAACCCTCCCACGCCTTTGCTACCAACAAACAGCCACCCGCCAAGTAACCACCCATGCTCCACCCATCACCTATCTAGGTAACCACCCTGATGCTTTCCAAAAACAGCACAAAACCCAAATACATCGCCATTTATCCCCCGCCACCCTTCTCAAACCTGAGTACCCTGATCATCTAGTTCAGTCTTCCAACCTCTTCCAAGCTCCAGAATTAGAAAGGGGCCACTGCCACCTGCCCTAACTTCCTCTTCCTCTTCAAACATCTTGATTCCTTGTCCCCCTCCTCTCATAAAACACCAAATACGCCGTAGCATTCGCCGCCGAATCCCCATAAAGCTGCTCAAGATTCCTGGGGTTCTTCGGCCCGACCTTGAGCGGCGTGACATCCCGATCATTGCACTTCCACCAGCTCTCCGGATCACTGCTCCGATCATCCCTGACGTACTCGATATAATGCCCCGAGGTAGTTGTCTCGCCAATGTGCACCGTCACAGCATAGAGGTCATACACCATGTCACCCTCGTAGTGTTCATCGCGGGGGTCGACGTGTTCGTTTGCCGCGCCGGCAAAATAAGGACGCACGTCAAGCCCTTGGGTCGGGAACTGTACTATGTTTTGCATCTTGTCGAATTGATTAATGCTGCGCTGAAAGGAAAAGACAAGCCGATCCGGTAGTCGGGCGAACTTGCGGGCTCGAGTGCGGTGCTTTGTCGAGTTGCATTTCTCACATCTGGCGCCGTCCATTTTCTCTGGCGCGGCGCTCTGTTCAAGCAGCTTCAGCATGCTGATGGGATCTGACGCGCCATCAGGGAAATTGAGGATTCGCATGTCGGAGACCTCAAACTTTTGGAACTGGTGGTTGCACTTGGAGCAGGTGTTGATGTACACATCCACACCACGGAAGTATTTGGTCACCAAAGAGTTGTGACCTTCAACGTAGTTGTTCCAGAATTTTACTGCGTTTTGGACAGCGGTGCCTTCGTTAGGTGTGTACTCGTCTCGCACGTTTGTCACCCGATCTCGACGAGTGTTTGTCTCATCGTCAATGGTTGTGAGGATGAAGTTATAGAACTCTTGTGCGTCCTGTTGGCGGTTCCCCCCGAAAAGATCCCCGTCGTTTTTTGATCTGGTTGATTTGGAGTGGATGTAACGGATGTATTGCTACACGCACTGTTAGTGACTGATGCTGAACACACTTGAACTGTTTTACGTACCATGAAGGTCTTGGCATGGATATACTTGAAAGATCCGGTGTTGATCCACTGGAAGAGATTTTCCAAACATTTCATCAAGAGTTGGGGGTTGTCAATGGTTTCGTCCAGCTTTTTCGGAGCTTTGTAGTTGTGCCTCCACGATCCATCGTATACCTCTTTGCAGAAACCAGGCGTGGCAAACAATGACTGAAGTGAGCTGTTGGCAAAGCAATGAACTCCTGGGTTGTAGAGACCGGTGCGATTTTTCCGCACTTCGGGCCTTGCGGCGCCGGGGGCGATTCCGACCGCCTTTGCTAGAACAGGTTCATCTGACAGTCCGCTATGACTACGGCGAGGAACCGCAGGGGCGGGACGAGCCGGTGGGGATGGTAGGGAGCTGTAGAAATTCTCATCGCGGGATATTCGATCATAGAGGGGACTTTCTAAACTTTGGCTAGGTGGCGACGGCGCAGACGAAGAAACCATGGACTCTTTCTGTCCTGATACCGGCGGGTAGCGACGGAGAAAGTCTTCGGTTGTTCGGATGGGTATTATGGATGCGGGATCGGAAATGTGCTTTTCCCAGCGTTTGGCTTCCTCGGGATTCTGGATGGGTCGTGCAGCATACTTCTGTTTTTGGTTCAAGAATGACCTGGTCATGGCAGTGGATGCCTGCTTCGCGGTTGGATCGATGGTTGATGATGTCTGCAAGCTGGCCTTTCCAACCATGCTCGTCCATGCATCCAGCCCGCCTTCGAGCAGTTTAGGCCGTGATTTGGCAGCTCTTTCGCCGACAAAGTCATAAAAGCTGAGGGCGCCGAAAAAGTTGAATACGGTGTGCTCTATGCTGTTTGATGGTGTTGCGGGAACCGCGGTCGAGTCCTGATCATAAAAGACCACCAGATCAAAGTCGGCCCGTTTCTCAAAGAGAAGCTGTTCACTTGCGGGCGCCAGTACCATGCTATTGGCAATGTCCTCGCCCGAGATGTGCGGTCTCGATAGTACCTCGGGCTCCACGCATATGGTGGCCTGAGATAGAATGTGACCTTCGTCAAATTCTTCACGACTCCTAATGTCCACTATTAATATTGATATCTCCTTGGAGCCTGCCTGCTGGTACTGGAGCAGATCCTTGACGGATATCGTTTCATCGTAGAAGTTGGGTAATGAGAGTTTTGTTCTCTTGTTTGATGTCGGCCTGTCGAAGCTTTGAGCTGTCGAAAATATCTCTCCTGCCATGGACGGTCTTGGGGCTTTGGTAATGTTGATGGACGACACCGAACCTGTCCTAGAGAACATGGCACGGGGAGTACTGGAAGGCAGTGCGGCTGCCTCCTTCGAAACGGTGCCCCTGGGTGGATTGTAAATGGCATCTGGCATTCGCGGTAACCCGCCGAGAGACGTTTGCGAGAACAATGGAGGTGGACTGCCGGGTGCTACCGCCGTTGTTGGTGACACGATCGGCTGGGTTCGGACGCGGGGGTCTTGGGTCGTCTGTACTGTGGTTGTCCTCAAATTCGCAAACCGTTGGGCCAGGTCCTGCGCTTTGGCCGAGGGCTTGGAGATTGCATTGCCATGGAGACCCTGTGGTTTAGGGCCCACCACCGGCTTCATTCTCGGAGGCGACAAGGGGGAGAAACTCTGGTCCGATGACGTGCCATTTGTTGCGCCGTTTGTCCTTTCGAAATCGTTCCCGTTAATCATATGTCCCCCATTCCGACTCTGCCTCTGGGCGGTTGGTTGGACACAAGTCCTAGCATTGTCTGCCTTGATTTCCATCTTGATCCTCTCGAACTCGGTATGCGTAGCATCAAGCTGCCTTAACACACGAGTGTACCGGTCATGAAGCGCCCTGGAATCCCTCTGCATCGACACCCAGCCTTTGTTCTTCTTGATCAGATCCAACACAATGATACTGGCCCGTATATAGTCTTTGAGGGCAAGGTCAGGACGACCAAACGTCTTTGATGATTCAGCCTGTCGAAGATAGTTTTCGGCCATTTGCACCACTCGCTCAATCGGAGCATGAGGGTCGAGGTCGACTTCAACCGACGTGATGTCGTCAATGTGTGGAAGCGGCCTTCTCGTCCCATTTCCTCCTCCATTTGGAAGCCCACCATTTGTTGGCCCCGCGCGCGAGGATCCTGCATGGTCCATCATGGTGACAGCCCTTGTCATGGAGAGAACGTTGGAAGGTGGACCTTGTACCTTGGTCTTGCTTTGGAACACTCGAGAAGTCGAAAGACGGGAGAGAACCGTGTTGCGAAGAAGCAGATACGTGGGTGGGGGATCAAGTCGTCGTAAGCAGTCGTCGAGGGCATGAGGTCGTTAAGAAAGAGCGGCAAGTCTGGTCGAGGGCGAAAAGCGAGGAGTGAAGCTTGGGCGGAAAGCAGCGCATTCTTTGTCTCGAGATCAAAGGGTTGTCCATCCATCCATTGTTTGCGCGGTGGGGGATCCCGCCCGTGGCAGTTGTGTCGTGAAGTTGTGACGAATGCGGTCGTTGAGATGGTGGAAGCCCACTGTCGTTTAGACCCCGGCTCCCCGGTCGTCGAGGTACTTGCAGTGCTCTTGGCGCCCTGCCTGTTCTTGGGGGGGCATGATATACCCCACACCAGCTTCACGCACTCCCGTCACTCTTGAATTCTCAAATAAAGGAACGAGCTGTCTTGGGGCCTCCTCTGAGAATACATTGAATTCTTGATACCATAACACACCCATGTGGCCAATGGGAGTTAGAAACTTCAGAAGTACCTAGAACTATTTGTCTCCAAAGCCCGCCTGCCTGGCACAAGCCACACCTAATGATGGCGGGGCGGCTGTCCCAAGCCACGGGCTGACAGGTGTAGGTAGTCCACTGTTTCGCTTGGCAAGGCGAGCTCCTGGGGGCGGCCCATACGTAACCAACAGGCAGGCAGAGACATCCAGCAAACAACCCATGCATAATCCATCATCCACCCATCACGAACACACGTTCGCACCTCCTGTCTGGCCAGTGCGCAGATCTTGACTGGCACAAATACTTTACTTGCCATCGTTCGACCCTTTGGACTATCTGCCAGGTTTATTGTCCTACTTCCTACCGAAGACGCCGCCGACATCTCCCCGCCCCAGCCTCCCGAGAGAGAGCCCACTGCCAACGAATTCCAGGTTGTCGCGCCAGCTTCCCTACCTCAATTCCATAGAGAATCTCTCACGATGATGGGGTGGTGGTCTTCCGGGGCAAACACTGCCCTGGACGAGCAGGTAGAGAAGGCGACAAGCAGCAATCTGTAGGTGTTGCGTCATGCTCCCCGCTGTCCCCGCTGTTGGTTGTGCGACAGAGCCATGTGCTAACAACAGTGTGTCCGCAGCGAGGATATCGCTCTAAACCTCGAAATCTCCGACGTGATTCGATCCAAGACGGTGCAGCCCAAGGAGGCGATGCGCTCGCTCAAGAAGCGCATCAGCAACAAGAACCCCAATACGCAACTCAGTGCGCTCAGTGTAAGGGCTGGTTTGGGCATCTGTTTGGTAAACGCATAGCTGACCAGACGTCTACGCGTAGCTCACCGATACGTGTGTTAAAAATGGAGGCGCCCATTTCCTGGCCGAGATTGCCTCGAGAGAGTTTATGGAAAGCATGGTTTCGCTGCTCAAGGCGGTTGGACCGGCTGCCGTCAATGCGGACGTGCGCGCAAAGATACTCGAGCTTATTCAGTCATGGGCCACGGCCACCGAGGGGCGCTACGATTTGTCATACATTGGAGAGGTCTATCGAAACCTTCAGAGAGAAGGGTTCCAGTTCCCCCCTCGCGTCACCGTCGCCAGCAGCATGATTGACAGCAGTGCGGTATGTCTCCTATGTGCGGGCAAGCTCTACTCTCTGCACCCAAACTGACATCTGATACAGCCCCCCGAGTGGGTCGATTCCGATGTGTGCATGCGATGTCGAACCAACTTTACCTTTACCAACCGAAAACACCATTGTCGAAACTGCGGAAACTGCTTCGACCAGCAGTGCTCAAGCAAGACGCTCCCCCTACCCCATCTTGGCATCCTCCAAGCCGTCCGTGTCGATGATGGCTGCTACGCAAAACTCACAGACAAATCAACCCCTTCGAAGGGGAGCGGCTCTGGTAACGACCGCTCCTCGTTGTACTCGTCGTTTCCCCACAAGAACAAGAGCTCGAGCATGCAACCGCGTAATGCTCGTGTTGACGATGGATTCGATGAGGATCTCAAAAAGGCCCTTGCCATGAGTTTGGAGGAGGTTCAGAACCACAACCGTGCCTATGTTCCTCCGGCAAGCAACGGAACGCAAGCGAGCAAACCAAAGTCGGGTGAGCAAGTATCGGCGACCAAGGCGTTTGAGGATGATGATGAAGATCTCAAAGCAGCCATCGCCGCCTCGTTGGCAGATATGGAGGAGCAAAAGAAGAGGCACGCCGCAGTCTTGAAAGAACAAACAACAAATGTCGGCGCGTCTTCATCAACAGCACCGCTGGCGCTCCCCAAGAATGACTACGAGCTCACGCCTGTGGAGGCGGAGAATATCAACTTGTTTGCCACGCTGGTTGACCGATTGCAGACGCAACCGCCGGGAACCATTCTCCGAGAACCACAGATTCAGGAGCTGTACGACAGCATCGGCACACTCCGGCCAAAGCTAGCCCGAACTTATGGAGAAACCATGAGCAAGCATGGTATGTCAAGTATCCCGATCCATCCCAAGTGTCCCCTGCTAACCCACTACAAGACACTCTGCTTGACTTACATGCCAAGCTTTCGACCGTGGTGCGGTACTACGACCGTATGCTTGAGGAGCGCCTATCCAAAACCTATAGCCAACACAGCATTGGTGGCTACAGTCTTCCCCCACCCCGTCAGCCCGCGGGACCATACCCGTCCCTTCCAGGGAGCGTCTCAGCCTCGGTTGGGCCAGCCGAGCACTTTTATACTGGCGAACAACAGCCGCAAGAGTACGGGAGGCCGGTGGGCCATCCCTCTTACCCACAGCCAACACCTCAACCTCCAACCCAGTACGCTCCTCCCTACGACAGACGAGAATCGGTAGCAATACCTCCCAATAGCCAATATGCCCCACAGCAAGTGCCGCAAAGGACGGGAAGCTGGGCAGCAGCACCGTCTGCGCCCCCGTCACAATATGCTCAGCAGCCTAGCTATCCCACCGAGGTTGCGCAGCAACAGGCACCTCAAGCTCAGCTCGCTGCACCCAGCACGGGAGACTCTGTTGGGACCACCCCTACGGCCGACCCACATGCTTCCTTCTATTTCAATTCACAGCAGCCACAACAACAAGGGCAACAGCCCGCTCCTTCTGCCCCTGATCCGGCAGCGTCGCCGTATCCCAACTTGGCCCAGCCGATGCATTCTTCATACCAGCCCTCACTCCCACAGACTCCCGCCTCGGCTCCCGCTCAGCCATCGCAGCCACAGCAGCAACATCAAGCTCCACCGCCCCAACCACAGCAACCATACTGGCAGCATCCGGCTGCTCAGCAAACTGCGCTTCCGCCTGTTTGGCAACATCAGCCCAGTCAGACGTATCCGGGCTACAACCAAGAGTCTTTCCCGGCCGCTCCTCAGCATGCGCCTAAGCAGCCAGTAGTGGAAGAGAGCTTGATTGATTTGTGAGACAGGATATGACTATGAGATGTAGCGGATCGGTTGGCAGGCGGGGAGACGGGACCCTGATACATAGATAGCTTTAACTATGAGTAATGAGGTGTGAAAACCGACATTTGAGTACCTAGATGGTTTTGTTTCTCTGTTGCGAGTGACCTCTGAAGTGTCCCATGTCTGCTACATAGTTAAATGGGTGAAGCGCTGACGTAATAATGTGGATGAGAACCAGTTGCACCCTATCAAAGCTGTCCGTGGAACAGATCAGTCAGAGTCGAGGCACCATGCCACGTGTGAGCGCGGGTGTCATGGGTACTACACGTAGGTCGGATCCGACACTGGCGGGGGCTCCAGAAGCAGTGATTCCGTCACCGGTCCGGGGGATTGGCATAAAGCGGAGGTGGGGTTGTGAGTGGGTGAGAGATCCGGTTTCTGAGTCACCAAGGAAGCTGGCGCGGATATATAGCGGACAAAGTCTTGATTTATATTTTCATTCCATCTTTTTTAAAGTTTGGGTTCAATTTGTCTGCTTTTCTGAATAACATTGGCTGTAAGCTGAGTCGGTTTGTTCAGTCTGAGCTCACACCTACCATATACTCTCATCTCATCTCAACTTTCATCCCCATCTCTTCACCTCGACTGTTCATCTCAACCTTTTTCTTTCCCCGAAGATTGGATAAAAAAAGGGAAGGGAAAATGCCAACCTACGTCCACCTTGTCCGCCACGCGCAGGGTTACCACAACCTCTGCCAGGAAAACCACGCGCTTCCCGACCCGGATTTGACAGACCTTGGCAAGCGGCAGTGTGAGGAATTGTATCAATCTTTTCCGTATCACGACAAGATTACGCATCTGGTGGCCTCCCCGTTACGTCGCACGATTTACACTTGTTTGTTGTCTTTCAACCCGGATATCGCGCCTGATAAACCGAGGGTTATTACCTTGCCTGATATACAGGAGGTCTCCCCCTTTCCATGCGACACGGGCTCCGAACCTGCAAAACTACTGGACGAGTTTCCTGATGATAAGGTGGTGGATTTGGGATTGGTAAAAGAGGGGTGGAATGATAAAGGTCCGGGGAGTGAGTACGCTCCTGAGCCGAGAAAGTTGTTTGAACGGGCGAGGAGGGCGAGGGAGTGGTTTAGGGATTTGGGGAGGGATCATGCGGGGGAAGGGGAGGTTAATATTGTTGCTGTGACGCATGGGGGTTTTTTGCACTTTTTGACCGAGGATTTTGAGGGGGTTGATTATGGGCGGGGGACGGGGTGGGGGAATACTGAGTGGAGGAGTTATGAGGTGGTGGAGGAGAATGGGGAGGTGAGGCTGAGGGAGACGGGGCAGAGCGCGAGGCGACGGAGGGGGAGTAAGGAGGGGTTGACGGAGACGGAGCAGATGGAGTTGAGGGAGGCGTTTGCGGGGGCGGTGGAGAGGGAGTTTGGGATGGGGGAGGCTATTGAGGAGGAGGAATAGGAGCTGGTTGGGATGGTGGTGGGGTGGCTGGGTCGGTGGTGTGGTCTACCGTCCGGTTGGGTCTCTCGGGCTCGGACCGTGTGGAGGCGGGAACGGGCCGGAGAATGGGTGGATTCTCGTTGAGGATGTTCATGCTGGAGATCATGTGGGAATTCAAATGATAACGTTGGCTTCATTGGTTTCGTAGACCGAGGTGAGGCCTCTGGGAGTATGCCATTGTGTGGCTTAGAGTTCTGCTAGGAGGTCAGATATGTGGCTATACACAGTAGATACAAACATTTTAAAAGACAATGATATTTTCCGACTGGGTAGTGGAAGTACGACGTGGACATGGAATGACCCAGCTCTCTTGTTTGTGACTTGTTTGATGACTGAACCGGGCTGAAGTGGGCTGTTTTTGTGACTTACATGGATGTTTTACTTGTGGTCCCGGTGAAGCGCGCGGCTATGGCTTTAAAGGTTGGTAGTGAGGGCAGCTGTATGAGAGCCGAATGCTATACTGCATCAGCGCAGCATTGCATGTCGCTGGGAGCGGTGGCATCTAGCTGCCGTTTGTCTCTGTTTGAGGTCCATTGTATATGCGGAACCCATGGTTCATATGCAAGTCCCGGAGTGGTTCCGCCGTGCATTGCCGTGCTGGTGGAGTGTCATTAATGATGGGCAATCTGAATTTGATGAAGAGAACAAGCTCCCAGGTCGGAATAGCTTCACTGATGATGTTGACATCTGGTGGCTTGCTAAGCTAAGCGCCACCATGCTTCGCTCCCGCAATGGCGTGCATGCGTCTTTTCTTCGAAGCCCAAGAACTCCGTGTTTCATTCAGGACTTGGGTTTGAGTCCTCCCATCGGTGGTTGGTGAGCTGTTTCATGGCTGCACTCTCCCAGTGGAGGCGTGCAACGGCGGCGACATGATCCAATCAGGAAAGCGAGAATGCTCCTTCGGGGGCAAGGGGTTGGACAAGCGATAACCAACGGAGGGGTACCTGCGTTAGCGCCAATCCTCGTCCAAAATATTCATCCCAACAGTGACTGACCAGCATCATTTCTTGTGTATTCCTTGTCACGGCGTGGTGCTGTTCCCCTCCCCCGCGTCTGGCAACGGAGGCTAGCCAATCATCCGTCGAGATACAAGTCAGGGTCGGCCTGCGAAGCCCAAGTGGTAGACCCCCTGCATCTCGGTTCCCTGCGAGCCAGGACGGCATCTTCTTCCGTTGGGGCCCCTTACCCTCCAGTCCTTTTTGTCGCGAGTTGACCTTGACGCTCATCCCCCCAAACTTCCACTGCGGAAAGGCGGCCTCTCCGGACAACTGTCGAAAGCTAACCACGAGCTATTCAGCCATTCATTCATTCATCAGTCGCCCACAGCGAACAATAGCATCACTCCCTCGAATCAGACACCACGACAACTTTCCCTATTGTGCTTTTACAGGGCGACACCCCGCCCACGCCTGATCTTTTTCCCCATCGGTCAACTTGATACCCGCGACTGGAATTCTACCCAGCCGATCAAACTCGGGATCCATTACCAACCTGCCACCTTTCGGCATCACCACCGACCTGTGGACCGCGCGCCTATTCAAGGATACTACTGTTGGGTTTCTGGAAGTGGCAGGGAAAAGGACTGGAAGTTGGGCCATCAGGACTGTCGATCAACGAAACTACTTCCCACTCAGCAATCAGCAATGCAACGATAGCCTGCAAGGCGATTTTCGAGGCCATCCGTGGCCGAACTATCCTCCTCGATTTATCCGGCCCTACTTCCTGCCGGCTTCTGATCTCCCTTCTTTTCAGTCATTTTGTTTGCTGGCAGGCATCTCTTTGCTTTTACGGCCGTTGAATTCAGGAGAGGAGTATTGAAGCTCCTTGGTCGACCTAAGCACAGTCGACTCTCGCAGGCGAGGAGCGACTTTGTGCGAACGGCGGACTGGAGCCTATGATCTTTCATCACACCCGAACGAGCGACGCATTAGGTTGTGTCGACGATATATTTCGCCATTCTTTGGGTTTATCGACGGTGTCGATACCCTCATACTCTTTACCGGCCAGTCTGGATATTTGCGCCTGGTTTGCGCAATCGATATTATGGGATTTTTAAGTCATAAAAGGAGGGATGTTGTGATCCAGCCAACCGAGAAGTGGGACTTTATTGTGAGTTGAGTACTGAATGCAGCAGGGCTGGGTAATGCTAATGTCATGCAGAGCTTGAACGATTTCAAGTCGACCTCATGTTGGACGCCCTTCGCCTATGGAATCCTTATTGCTTCCATGTTCCTGTCGTTGTCTGTGTACGCTGTCGATGGTTTCACAGCGTACCAACTCATTGCGTTCGACAGATGGTCTTCCCAAATCGAACCGGCTCAGTTCATCCCATTCCAAGTCACGAAATGGGTATTCGCCGGCTGCATCATCCTCTCCGTGGCCAATCTCTGCTACGAGCACCTTCGCGCCAACCGAATTATGCGAAGAGGAAGTGTTGCTGAGTGTTTCCTCGATCATATTGCTCAGCGCATGGAGTGCCTTCGACCAACTAGCGGTTGGAGGAGGTTTCTCGTTTTCGCCGAACTAACCAAGAGCAAAAAGGGCGTCGACTACGTCGCCCTCTTCACTTTCTTCAGCTTCCAGTCATGGATTCGAGTGCTCCTCTGCTCCGGGCCTCGTCAGGTTCTCAACGCTCTTACGCTCTATTCTATTTTCAGGGCGAAGCTCAACATCAAGGGAGACAACTTTGATGCTTCACTCGCTGATTTCATCGACAAGATCCAGGCTCTTGCGACGGAAGACACGAGGCAATCTGTCATTCTCTGTGGTATGATCTTCACTGTGGTCGTTTGGATCTTCTCGTTTCTTTCGTTGGTAATCTCAGGGGTACTTTTCGTGCTGTTCTTGTGGAGTTACATCCCCCGCGAAGATGGAGGTTTGACGGGTTTCTGCGAGCGCAAGGTCAACAAGCGTCTCAAGCAGATTGTCTCGGTCAAGATCAACAAGGCGATGGAGGAAGACGAGAGACAACGGAAAAAGGCGGAACTCAGGGCGGCCAAGAAGAACGGGGAGAACAGACCAGTCACCATGAAGCCATCTCTGCCCGTTTTCGCCGACGATAATCTGGCTGAGATGCCGAGTCTGAAGAGAGCCGAGACCTTCATGTCTATTTCCGAGAAGACCGACCGTCCGAATACTCCTGGCAGCTTTGAGATGAATACTCTTGGGCAAAAGCGACCAGTTCCATCTCGGTCTGGAACTACGGCGACGTCGGTCAGCAAATACTCGGCCAGAGCATCTCTTCTCGGTGGGGCTGCCGCCATGGGTGTTAGCCGTTCAGATTCACCAGGACCGGCGATGCCAGCCGGATTCCCTCCCCCTCCCAGGACTGCGACTGCTCAATCCAACCGAAGTTACGCATCAAGCCAGCAACTCAACAGGATGCCTTCGAACGGTTCGAATCTCAACGCGGGCTACACTGCTGGCCAGGCAATGTATTCTCAAGATGCTATGCCCAGCATGCCGCCCCCGGTTAGGCCACCAATGAATGAAATGAGCAACTACAGAGGTCCAGGGCCAAATCAGCAGCAAAATAGATGGCCTGGACCCAATCAAGGAAGACCAGGATATGACGACTACTCGAAAGGACGGGCCAGTCCTGCCCCATCCACCATGTCGTATCGCAATGGCCCAACGTCGCCCCCGAGAATGGGACCAGGAGGATATCCAATGCGCAGCGCCACCGGCCCAATGCCACCTCGGGGACAGCAACCACCATTCCCACCCCAGAGGAATATGACTGCTCCCATTCAGCCTTTTCACCAACGGGCCGATAGCAACGGTTCGGGCGTGTCTATGGGTATGGGTGGGCCTCCTCGTCAGCCATATCATCACCAGAGTGCTAGCAACAGTTCGCTGAGAAATATGACCATGCCGGGCGCCTACCAACCGCAAGAGGTCGATGAGTACCGACAACCGACGCTGCCAAATCTCGCTGGATTTGGCGGGCCCCTCCAACCACAACAGAACGAGGATTACAGGCAACCGACTCTGCCAAACATCGAGGCACCACAACAAGACAATGATTACCGGCAACCGACTTTGCCAAACCTCGACGGTGTTGCGCCAAATTCTTCACAGAGCCATGACGAATACCAGTATACGAGTCGATCACTCACAGGGAGCAACAAAACGCCAGCCCCGTACCCGGCAGAAGACGATGCGATGAAGTATGATGGTCCATCAAATCCTGGGAGGAGCGATTCACCTGGCCCATTCCAGGCACTGCCTGCGGAAGGCTCTGGGTACCTTGATAGATCTAATACTGGGAGGAGCAACTCGCCCGGACCTTTCCAGGCGCAGCCCATGGGCGGTTCTGGTCAGCTTGACAGGTCCAACACCGGGACGAGCAACAATTCCTTTCAGGCGTATCAGCCTCGGGCCACTGATGGTTCCAACGAGAACCCCTCGAGATCTGCCACGATGTGGAGCGACTCACCTGGCCCATTCCCCGAGCAAAGCACCAGCCAATCTCAGTCCATGGATCAGCCGGCAACTGTCTCGCACGCCATAACAACCGAGTTGGCTTCCCCGGTGCCCATCCAGCCGTCGGCTACTGGCCAGTCTAGTTATGTAAGCAGGCTGGATCCTGGGCCATCATCTGGGTACGTCAGCAGACTGGAGCCCGACAGAAGTCCGTCACCGGAACTCGACATTTTTGCGGCCCCGGCTCGGGCAAACACCGTGTCAGGGGCGTTCTCCCTTGATGACTACGATTACGATCGTGGTCCCCAACGGGCCAATACAACCGTTGGCAACATGTCCGGCAGCAGTTCTCGGGATCCTGCCCCTCATAACAACAACAATGGCTGGAGCGACGACTTGGAGAGAGGCAACCAGTCAAGATACTGAGCCATTTAACGGGTTCTTGAGAAATTGCCCAACCAGTTTTTTTCTCTTGCATTTTCATTCTCACGGTTGTGTAAAATTTGAACCAACGATATAAACGCGGAGATGATGGCTTTTCTTTTGATCTTTTTTTCTCCTGGTTTCTCTTTTTTCTTTCTTGATGATTTTGCTCGACCCAGCGCCAGCGAATTTTCTACTTGTAAATACTACATACCCGCCCACTTGTATGCATATATTTTGTTTTTTTCTTTGCATCTTTCTACTTTCACTCACACGTTTATACCCCGGGGAGAGTTTGGATTGAGGAGAGAAAAATAAGGGGAGGGAAGGAATGGAGTTGATGGGCTTTCTAGGGGGTGATAGAAAGGCGTTGAATGATGATGATTTACACTCTTTTACTTGTTGTGTTGTTTCCCTTGTTGCTGTGATTATTGTGCGAGGTGGTGTTGGTTGGGTGGAAGAAAGGTTGAAAGGGTGGTGTGGAAGGTTGGGGGGAGGTTGTTGATGTTAGCGGGTGATTCTGTAAAGTCTGTCATCTAAAATCGGACCATTCGCGATCTGTGCAAATCGGGTATGGTGTAGCGGTAACATAGTTGACTCTCACTTCTCAGAAGTGTCTTTTCTCTCAACAGCCCCGGGTTCGACTCCCGGTATCCGAGTCCATATTTTTGGTTTTTGTTTTTTTCACTACCCGCCTATACATTGCCAACCCTCTCCCTTTTTTTTCTTTCTTTTTCTTGTCAATTGAGAGGCATTTTTCTTATGGTTTGCGAGTGATAAAAATGGAGGGGAGCATCACATGAATCCCCCGCTCTTGTAGCTGACTCTCGGTTCTCTCCCCGCGTTAGTCCCTTTCGGGGGTGATACCTTTCAGCTTTGCGGTCCGCGCGCCTTGAGATGTTCAGGGTCTGGCGAGGATGGCGAGGCTCAGTACGACGCTGTCTTTTCTCCTGCTTTTTCTTTACCTTTTTGTTTTGTTTTACTTTTCATGCTGCTGTGTCCTTTTGCCTACCATCATCGTACAAGTGCGACCTGCCAAACGATCAAGAGAATGGCAGTGTATCTCGTGGCTGCGCCGCCTGTAGGTGTTGGTGGCGGGCGGTATTGGAAACGCCTCTTTTCGAAGTGTGCCAATAGTGTGACGGCTTGCAGAAGGCTTGCAGATGGGGTCTAACCTGAAGGGATGGAGGCGCTTTTGAGCTGAGGCGTTTTTTTTATCGGGTTTGGGCAACTATCTCTGGTTGTGTCTTGGGGCAAAAGGTAGGGTAGGTAGGGGGTAGAGCCTTGCGGTTTTGCCTGGGTTGTTCATCGGTTCAAATGTCAATTTCAGCTGCAGGTTAGACAGATGCTGGGCGCTTGGGGGTTTTGGTAGGTAGGTACATAAGAACTTGGGGGCGCCGCCTTTTCGGGAGGAGGGGGGGAATCTTGGTGGTTTTCTTTTGGTTGCTTGCGATTTTCTTTTGGTGGTTTGTCACGATCTTTATACCTACCCTTAGGATCCGTTGTACCTCGCCCAGAGATTGATGCAGAAAGAAATAACAATGGCACCACCAATACGATCCATCACCGCTACTGCCACCGCGCTTCTGCTTGTGATAGGAGCCCATGCGGCGGAAAACGCGCCCTGTTACTTCCCCGGTGAAGTACACGCTTTGGGGTACTACCCCTGCCAACCGTTCGGCGCCGAGATATCGCTCTGCTGTCCCCAGGGGTGGACGTGCTTCAGCAACGCGCTGTGTATCGCGACGACGGAGACGAAGAGTTTTCCGAATATTACTCTGGGGGAGGTGCAGAGGGGGGCTTGTACGAGTCCGGGGTGGAATAATGCCCTTTGCGGGGGCGTTTGCTTGAGTAAGTCTCGTCTCACAATGAACTGTTGATGGTGGATGCTGATGGGTGGTGTCATAGCGGGTGATAACATATACGGGAAGCTGGCTGCTTGTACTCAGGAGACGTTTTGTTGCGAGGATGATTACAAGAAGGGGAAATGTACCTGTGAGGAAGGGGGTGGAAGCTTTGAGATTAAGAGGGGAATGGGGAGCAAAATTATTGAGGTTGACAGTGAGACTTTTTCTGGGACGGCGACGGTGATAATTGCGGAGCCGGTGACGAGTTTTGTTTCGGATGCTACGACCACGACTGGGACGGCGACGAGTATGGGGGAGAGTTCGGTGAGTAACACTGCCGATGGGGCTACTACCACGCCGACTTCGACGGAGCCAGCCGAGGTTGTGGAGGGGGGTGGTGGGCTGTCTAAGGGGGCGACGATTGGGATTGGAGTTGGGGCTGGCGTTGCTGGGCTGTTGATCTTGGGAGCGTTGGCGTTTTTTGTGATGAGGTGGAGACGGAAGAATAGCCAGATGATTGGGACGAATAATGGTGGGAAGGTGACGGAGGATCCTATTGAGAGTCATCAGTATGGGGTTACTTATGGACATGCTTATGGGGAGCAACCCTAGATGAGGGGGTAGGTGGTAAGGCAGGTGCGGGATCAAGTTGGCCCAAAGGATAGACGGAAAAGTGTGCGGTCGAATCCAGTTTCTGTTGTTGGAGGCTACTCATTCACTGCTGGATTTTCACGAATAATGGTTTAATCGCGTTTAGCCTTCCTCTGTAATTGTTAGTTTGCTGATATATATACCTCCCACAAGTTCAAGACCTTGCTCTCTTGTCCTCCATCCAATCCTCATCCTCCCTGATGGCCCCCTTCAACCACTTCACCGCCAAAGCTTCCTCACTGCCCCTTAGTCCCCACTCTCCAATATCATCTTCCTCCTGCTCTTTAACTTGGGCACTAAGCTCCATGGTCTTTACTCTCCTTAGGGCTTCTCTGTCCCTTGCCTCCGGCCCCGCAAATTCCTCATCGCCCTCCTTAGCTAATGTCTGGCACTCGAACATGCTCACACTCCGTCTCATGAGCCCCGCTAGCTCTATGGCCTGGACTTTGAAGGAATTCCTGGGCGGTATCCTCTTCTCGTCCCCTGAAGCCGGGACATCGTCAGAATCGAACAAAAGCAGCGTCTCCGGAACTCGAAGGGTCGATTGTCGTGGCGGGAAGACTAGATACCCTTTTCTCGGGCGACTGGATGCCATAGCTTCGGCTGTCTTCTGGGCCAGAATCACATCAATTTCTTGGGATGTCAATTCTGCCAGCGGTTTCGAGCTTAGTGCCTGTGAAGAAGATGGGTCATCAGACTGAGGCGGTTGAGGCTCGGGGATGCCCGTCGTGTCAGCCAGGAAATTGTCAACTGCCGAAGATAATGCCGGCGGTGAAGGTAGGTTGTTGAACCGGGATGGGTTGAAGAAATCTTCCGGTACGTGCAGAGGCGCGTTCTGAAAGAACAGAGTCGGGGAAGCGAACGGGTCAAAGAGGTTTGATGGTGAGGGAAAGAGGTAGGGCATTTGGGAGTAGAGGAAACCAAAGGCCGTGTTTTCGTCGAATTCCTCGAGCTCAAAACGTTGTGACTGGACTTTGTTGGTGTAGAATGGGCGTATTCCGTGTTTAGGGGGCTTCAACTTGTAGCTGTGTATTGGGTGGTCGGGAAGGAACATGGGCCAGTTGTATATCCCGTTGTGAGCGATAAGACCACGGACGGTCATGCCGCCTTGGCCGAGGTTCAGAAAGGGGCGGTGAGCTTCTGTGAAGGCTAGGCCAGCACCTAGAGTGGCGCCTAGATAGGAGCCATAGACATAGGCTGGGCGACCAAAGACATGCTTTTTCTTCTCCGGACGAAGGCCGAGGTTGGCTGACAGCCAGGAGTACCCAAAGGTGAGGTCGTGAACTGGGCTTGGCCATCTGAGAGATGTCTTGTCCTCTGGGTCTTTCACGTTGTTCCACCGGTAGTTAATGACTGCTGCCGGAAACTCCCGGAGCCATCTTGGGAGCGAGCTATGTGGTTCCCCTCCGGTATGGGGGATTGGAGGTATGACAATAACCAGAGGTTTTGTCGATGCATGCTTGGCGATGTTGTGAAGGCTGGCTCGGTCAGATGGTGGTTCCGGTTCATGAAGTGTAGTAGACATACCTCACAGTTATCTCACCAGCTGATGCGCATTGAACTTGAACATTCTCAACTGACTCATTAGTGCTATAGAAGCGAGATCTGCGAAGCACTCTGCAAGTAAGAGCTGCTGGACGCCAGCGCCTTGCTCCCAGTGGCCATCTCAACATCGATAACAGATTCTGAAAAGACAAAAATTCTTAGCCTTCCCATCCCCACTTCATCACAGAGTTTCCATTCCTGGTTCACCAAACGAGTTTGTCGCAATTCTAGTGATGTTTTGGTCAATCCAAAACAGTTAAAACTGTCGTTTGAAGTCGATTCTCAAAGCTGTCAAACAAATTTGACCAATCATAGCGCTGCATCCGATAAGATCGTGACCCGGCTCTAGACGGGCAGGGGCGGCACGACGTCATTGTCATCCCAACTTCGCATCGTGTAAGCCTGGAATGCCATGCTCTTTGTCTCACCCCAACCCTCGCCTGATGCTCATGCATTCATTGTCTTCTATTTCAAGCGCCGAGAACTTTGAGATCTTCCGGATATGAGTCTTGGCAATATCATCCAAACTCTCGGGTCTTGACAAGGCCTGGGAGAGACTCAAGATGAACGATGCAGGCGGGGAAAAGATTGATGAACATCTCCGTGCAGCTGATCCTGACGGTAAGAAGCTGCCAAAACAACAGGAGCATGAGCAGATGCATCTGGACCCGAGGTCAGTTTCTCCGTAGACACGATAACACAGACCGTCACTGATATTACCTACCTCAGCCGATGGTGGTTCGCCTCTTCTGCCTTTCCCATGATAGCAGGCACACTGGGTCCAGTCGCGTCAGCATTCAGTATCTGCGCCCTGGCAAGACCATGGCGACAGAACTACCTCCCCGGCTCCGACCTGGATGCGGCCCCGTTCATCAGGGACCCAATATGGCTCACCATCATCAACGCCATCCAGCTGCTCATCGCGCTCATAGCCAACATGGCTCTGTTGCTGAACATGACGCAGCGACTGAGGTTTTCCATCGCCCAGCCAGTCACCATTGTGGGATGGTACATCTCCTCCATATGCCTAATTTCTCTCACCGCAACCGCCTCTGGCCCACTGATCATCGAGCCCACCAACCAATACATCTGGTCCCAGGCCTTCTACTACGGCATCTACGGCGCCGCTCTTTACTTCCTCGTCGCTTCCCTCATGGTCATCACATTTGTCGGGGCTCAAACAGAGCACTACCCCAAAGACTTTGTGCTCACCCCTAGCCAAAGGACACTGATGATGCAGACTATCTTGCTGCTCTTCTACCTCCTCCTTGGCGCGTTGTTATTCGGTAGGATTGAAGGCTGGAACTATCTTGACGCGGTGTACTGGGCGGCTGTCACCCTTTTTACCGTAGGGTTCGGGGACTTCTCCCCACAAACCGGTCTGGGGAAGGGACTGGTCATGCCGTTTGCTTTGGTGGGGATCATCAGCCTCGGTCTTGTCATTGGGTCGATTCGAAGCTTGGTACTTGATCGTGGCAGGCGTAGGCTTAGCGCCCGGATGGTGGAAAAGAGAAGGCGGAGGATGCTAAAGCAGATGACGAAGAAGGGCAAAGATGGTATTCTCGTGCCTATAAAAGAGGGCGAGGAGCTCAGGCAGACGCCTTCCGAGGTTGATCGCGGCCTGACCGAGTTTGAGAGGCGAGAGAAAGAGTTCAAGCTGATGAGGGATATCCAAAAGGAGACGTCAAAAAAGAGGAGGTGGTATGCCACTGCCGTTTCAGCGTGCACCTGGGCTGCGTTGTGGTTAGGGGGGGCAAAGATCTTCCAGGCCTGTGAGGAACCATACCAGGGGTGGACGTATTTTGATGGGATATTCTTTTGCTTTGTGAGCTTGACGACTATCGGCTACGGGGACATCGTCCCGGTCTCTAACGCGGGGAAGTCCTTCTGGGTGTTTTGGGCGTTGTTGGCTTTGCCGACCATGACGGTGTTAATCTCCAACGCCGGTGACACAGTGGTTAAGGGTATCCGCGACGCCACCGACGCCATCGCTACCATCACCATCCTCCCTAGTGAACGCCCCTTCAAAAAGGACCTTAAACGGTTTCTCAAACATGTTTCGTTTGGGGTGCTCTTCAAAGAAGAAATCATTGAGGAAACACCCACTGGCATTTTAGGCGAGGCTCAAGACCGCGACAACACCAGCTCGGACTCGGTAGAAGAAAACGACGCCGAGACAGCCCTTCAGCGGGGTCAAGCCGAGTCATCGAATTCATCACCTACCTCCCCCAGAGTTAGATTCAACCCGCCCTTTCGAAACGATGACGCTCATGACAAAAACATTGACGATAACACCGCCGATGAGAACCACCCCCACGGTCCTGGTCAACATCTCCGGGAAAGGAAGAAAAGAAGGAAATCTGCCCCGTTTACTCTGCCAAATCGCCAGCAGGATTATTTGGTCATTTTGATCGATGAAGTTGCGAGGGTTACGGCGCATTTGAAGGAGCACCCTCCGAGAAAGTACTCGTTTAAGGAGTGGGCGTGGTATTTGAGGTTGATTGGGGAGGATGAGAGTGATGCTGGTCAGCATGGGAGGGCGAGCACGCATGTGAGGACGAAGAAGGATAAGTTTAGGGGGGGGAGGCCGAATGAGGGGTTAGATGATAGGGGGGAGGCGAGGGTCACGGAGAAGGTGGTGCCGTGGAGTTGGGTGGGGAGTAAGAGTCCCTTGATGGGGGGGAAGGAGGAGGCGGAGTGGATTTTGGAGAGGTTGATTGAGCGGCTGGGGGAGGAGTTGAGACGGGGGAGGAGAGAGGGGGATGATGATCAGGAGGGGGAAGGGCAGCATGATGAACACGAGGGGAGAGGGGGGCGTGATGAACTGTAGTGGGAGAGTGATGTTTTGTGGAGTTCAAGGCAGGATGAGATGAAGAGCTGGTTGAGTGATACCCATCTTAAAGTTCGGCGTAATGGTAATTTCTGGTACAAGATAATGGCGATCCTACGGTACAAGTATATACTAGCAAGCCGGGCGATTCAAGAGAGTACTGATGCTCTCATCACTAGATCCTTGTGCTCTTAGAGCGCTCCCGATGGAGACGACCTCGATTGCTGCAAACCTATCATGACCAAAGCGGTTAGCAACAGGGTATCAAAGATCATGGCAACAAAGGAAAAATCAACCTGTACTTACGTAGCCGTTGCTGCAATGATCTCTCAGACCTTTTGGCGGAGCCGAGGATCCCCATCAACACAGCAAAGGTGATGATGAAGCCAGCAGTGGCGCCGATACGTGCCTCGGTAGACGGAATCTCAGTCAGTGCATAGATAGATAGCACCGGGAGAGCGGAAGCCATGATCGCAACAAAGACATTGCTGGCACGGTTGACCCGGTTGCTGCTGTAGGATTTGTCGCCCGTTTCCTCGTCTACCATCTCTCCGGACCCGATATATCGACCGACGACACGGTCGTAGGCCTGTATGACGGAGTTGAGCAGCCGCCTGGTGAATGGGTCGCCTTTGGCGGTCAGTGTTTCGAGGCATAGACAGGAGCTGAGTTTGTCGTCACTCCACGTTTCGGTTTTGAAGTCTGTGAGGAAGGAATTCCCTCCTTGGGTGTCTCTGAGCCATGATTTGAGACTTTTGAGTTGTGATTTCATGGGTTTGTCTACTTGGTTGAGTGTGAATGCTTTCAGTTTGACAAAGGCCAAAGTCAGATAAGTTACTTTTGTGTGATTGAGAAGGCAAAGAATAAGTTTGGTTGACGTTCACTCACCTTGCAAAAGAATTTCATCTGGAGCTCATCAGATATCGCATCAGTCTACTGTGGTAAAGGGGGGGTGTGGTATTCAGGTAACTGACTATACTCTTTTATTAATGCCCTGATAGCCCCAAGCTTCATGTGTTGTGAACTTGATGCATCAGGCGAGAGCTTGAAGTTTCTGCAATAATTTGCAGCCGGAGAACTTGCAGACACTACATCCGCAAGGCGCTCTGTTTTAAGCTCTTTCTCAAGCTGAATGATTTCAGCTTGAAGGGAGAGTAGGCAGAGAACTTCTTGGGCTGTAAATGCCATGTCATAGGCTCTTTGCAGCCGCTGTGACTTGCCCAGGCCAAAGCCAGGCAGCAATGTCTCAAGAGGGCGGCCACACAGCCTCGTCCCCTACAGCTAGCAGGGACTGGCTACAGTTAGGTGCTATGTAGTAAGACTGGAGCGGTTGTTGAACGTAGCTGTATCCCATCGTCATTGAATCCACCAAGAAGGGGAAACTGTTCAACTAAAACCTCGACAATGGATGCCGTTTCGACAGTTCTCCTCCTCGTCTCAACGGGGCTTTCTCTTGCCACATCAATTAGCACTTTACTCTCCGGTGTAATCCGTTCAATCGGGACCTTTCCTCAGAAAGTCCACCTCTTCCACCATGAGATAGGCACGATGCGGGGCGTCATAGACGAATGTTACGAAACACTTCACGGCGGAATAGTCCAAGCTTTTCTTCACGTCAAAGAGATGCTCGTGGCGGCTCATGAGCAACAGCGAAAGGTCGAGATGCTCATCTCTCAGGTGACCCGAGTCCATGAGAACGAAAACGAGGAGACGGGTGAAGTTGGTGATTTTTGCTGCAACTAAGGAAAAGGAACTCACCAGTGAGCTTGCAATCCTCCGCGACAAAGTTGGTCTGTTGCATGATGCCTATTCCGAGTGAGTAGAATTGCAACCCAGAAGAGTCAAGCTTGTTGTTTTTCTGACACTGAAGTCTTCTCATACAATACGTGTACGGAGTGAACTTGTGGAGTTGAGGTAAAAGCCTTCTTTCAGTCCCTCAAAGTCGTTGGGAGAATCCAACGGGGGTTCATTACCAGGTTGCGTTACTGACACTGATGGATTCATAGTGCGGCAACGGCCAAGCTCACGGCACTGTCCGTTACAGCTTCTCTGAACACGAAAACAGGCTCATTCGAGTCTGAATCAGAAAGGGGTAAAAGCAGCCACCCTGAAGGCACTGGCTTCAGCCTATCGGACGAACAACAACTGCAAATAGCCAAGGCAATCCAGAAGTCCGCCTTGCAGCCGTTAAGAACACTAGAGGCAAGACAACTTCTTCATCAACGGAACGGTACAGTTGATGGACCCTACACTCGAGCCAGGGATGGTTCTTGTCGAGGATAACACCCAAACCTGGAGCAAGCGGTTTCGATACAAACCCGCTCGAATCAAGATCGATACCGGGTCAGCAGCCGATTTCGTCACTCTCGAGTACCTGAAGCAGATAAAATACAATCTCGGAGACATGGTGGAGATCCCGGAGAGCGAACGAGAAGCTGTTGAGGGCCTCAATAAAACAATGTACTGGCCATCTCACAGAGCGGATGTACAGTGATATCCTCGAGGAGAAACACAAGTTCAGGTCACCTCTTGCCTGGTTGTGGACTCGGGCCCGTTCGACATGCTGTTATCCTCACGAAACTTCGTGCCACTGGTCTCCTCCGCACTCACTCTTGTCAGAGGCTCCAGAGGGCCGCGTAAAACGAGGGGTAAGTGTCCGACGGATATTGCGTGTATGAACTCGAAACTAACATTTTGGGCCCCAGAACAAATCGAAAAAGAGTGAGAAATCAAGAAGCAAAAGCTGGCGAAGGCAAAGAGTTGGCGAGAAAGAACTTAGTCGCAGCTGTGGTAATGAGAAACCAAGAAGGTGGTCGAGCAACCACAATGCAGAGCTCGGTGGTCCCGGCCTCTGATGGGCAAGAGCTATCTGATCTAGAGAACGGGCAAGGGGTGGTGGGTGGTGCTTCGGGGACGTCAGCTTAAAACCGTAGATTCGCCAAAAGGCGCGAGCGGAACACATCGACTGCGGGGTCACGGTGGTGGCCATTTAAGTAAGGTAGTGATGTATAATGTACGTTCCGCATTACAAGGGAGCTGGACACCATCCAGCGACAGATCCCTGCATCTTTCTCTACCTTGGCTATACAAATGCTTCGCCATGTTTCTAGACTCGATTCTTCCTCAAAACCATCCTGTCCATCCCACTCATATACATCCCCACAGTACCACAAAACAGCAAAACATCTGGGTATCCCCCAAAACAGATCATATTCATATCATGAAATCCGTGTTTCTGAATCATCCCAACCAACATCCTTTACAGACCAGCAACAACCCCCACCGCCAAAGCAAGCGCCGCACCCAGGACGCCAACCTTGAAGCCAGCAGTCTGGCCAGCCCCGGAAGGCTGATCCACATCCCCATCCTCATCCTCATCCTCGCCACCATCCCCAGCCTCATCATCCTCACCCGGAGGTTGCGTCCCAGAAGGGCTAGGAGAGGTACTCGTCTCCGTACCCGTAGGCGTATACTGCGACAGCCAGTCACTGACACTCTCATACAGCTGATTGCAACCCTCAAAGCAAGTATGCTGCCCGGCAAAAACAGTGTACGAAGCAGTTTGAATCTCGGCAAAGATGGTGGCCCCAGACTCGAGGCTTGTCGTTCTCGTCGTCATCTCAGTCCCGCCAGTAAGAGCGTCCGTCACAGTGACAACCTCGCCCGCGGTGAGCTTGGCCGTGCAGGCGGGCATGTTGATGGTCCAACCCCCATACGGCGTCCCAGAGATAGTGGTTTCGAAGAGGATGTCTTCCGTCCTGGTGCTGAACAGCCCAAAACTGAGACTGCCAGAAGGGCAGCATTCGAGATAATGCAGGTCGACGTTGTTTATAGCGGTGGAGTCGTGGCTGGCCTCGCTGTATCCCACGGGACAGCTGGCAAAGTAGTGGGTGATGGTCTGGCTGCCGGTGGCTTTGGTCACGGCGCCTGAGGGACCGTACTTGTTCTGGTAGCACTCGTCCTCGTAGCCGCGGGTGGTGGTGGTGATGGCGATGCTATTATCATCAGAGCGGGTGAAGTGAACGAGCGGGCGACCGGCGTTGACCACGGGACCACAGGTGAAGCCGGGTAATCTGCCAGTTACAACTGCGGGTGGCGCACTCGCAGTCGAGGCATAGGTTTGACGATTGAGGATTGCACAGTCGAGAGTGGCGAGCCAGAGGTCCTGGCCAAAGCCACAGGTAGCTGCGGGAGTGAACTGCGTCGGAGAGTAGTTGGAGGGCCATGTCGGCGAGGGGATCGCAGAGGTAGTTGTTGCCATTTTGAGGAAGGAAGCTGCAACGATGAGCAGAGAGTATTGCCGAGCGCGAACTACGACATTTCAACGAGAGAGGCGGCCGGACTTATATACTCACTAACGTTGTATTCTCAAGATATGCTGGTCCTGGCATTAGCCAATAATCACTATCATCATGGCTGAGCATACTTGGCGGTTGATGTTGGAACTTGTGTCGACTGGGTAGCCAGCTCGGCAAGGGCTCTGCCCATGCTCTCTTGATTGACTTCATCTGTAGGGCATATGCGACTGGCAGGTATCCGGTCTTCCTGTAATCCAGTACCAACATCACGAAGGCGATGAAATGGCTTTACTATTTCCTTAATGAGTACCCATCCCAATCGTTAATACAGCTTGCACGAAAGCTCGCGGGGAATAAAACGCCAAGGTTCTTCTTTATGCCCCCTCGCCCAACCCACAACAGAAAGTCTTCGCATCGATCAGGCGTCATATTTATGGGCCGTCCAAGGCGGCTTCAAAGAGATTTGAAAGAAAAGAATTGGTTGACATGTGGTCCATGCCACCGTCCATTGTACGTGTTGCTGTATGTTGAAGAGAGAGAGAGCGGCTACGAGCTACTCGAACAGTCACGAGCTACTACCAAACTGGAAAACAACTAGCCAAGCCGGATCATGTAGCCGTCTCTGCCCCTTCGCAACTTCCACTCTTAGGTTCGCGCCTTCCCCAGCTTCTCAACCTCCTTCTCACAAGCCACACCTTCCAAAACTCACCCGCCTCATGCCCCCTCATAAACGAGGCTGGTGATCCGTCGTCGTCCCCAAGTGTGGAGCCATCATCGGTCCACCACGTCTCCAAAATGGCCCGTGCACCAGCTACCCCTGCATACCTAAACCAACCCAAGGTGGTTGGGCAGGCGCAGAGCCAGCCAGCCAGCAAAGCTACGACACCAGCCTCTTCTTTTCTGTTGACTTGGAATAATCAAGGTGGCGGGGCAACCAGCTCCTATTTGACCTGCATGCCCGCCCGCCGCGTGCGCATTCGCGCGCAAATGTGGTTCTCGCTTCTGCATCTACCATATTTTGCATTCCGACGACCATCGTGCAATTGTCGCAACTGTTTGACGAAGAATCCGATTCCCACGTTTTTCCTTGAAAAGTCACAAGCGACACCGAGGAATTGGGTCTAACGACGAAACCCCGCAATTTTTTGTAACGAACGAGAAGCTTGACAGCTTGAACTGGTAAGTCTGATCTCCTCAGCGGTCTTTCCGGCAGCTTGAAAACTAACAACCCAGAAGATTGCTCCAAATCAGCTTTTCAATCGGAATCATTTCTACCTAAAAAGCGATATTTTGATCCCCAAAAGCCGCCATCTCACGAACTTTGTCACCGCCCGCCAACCTTTGAATCCGAGGCTCCACCCCAAAAATACGTGGGACCAACTGACACAAGCGTCACCTTCACCACCACCATCACACCAGTGTTGTTCCGTCCCAGGGTTCAGACCCAAAACCGCCAAAATGAAACAAAACGATGTCATCGCCGTAATCATCATCATCCTCTTCATCGTCCTCGCCCTCATCGCCTTTGGAATCTACCACCTCGTCTCCGTCGCGCGAGACAACGTGCGAGGGTCGGTAACGACCAGCTCGGACACCACGAGCAGTAGAGACTAAACCTGGAGTGCTACAAATAGTGCGTTGTTGCACCGAACATTCAAGAGACGCTGGGAGTGAAGGGGCTGAAAAATGCCCTTGATCTCTTGGGTTGAGGAAAATATGAAGTGCACGCACCGCCGCTGGGAAACGACAATGTCAAAAGAGTGAAATGATAATGGATGATGGGAGGAACGGAAAGATGATGCGCGGGTGGCTACAATTTTTTTTTTGGGATCTTGCAGCATTTTGCATTACTATGGGCTTGAAATTTTTGAGGATATGTATGGAGTTTGGCGTTTAAGGGAATCACTCCTGTTTGTGTGGGATGGGAGCTATGAGCGAGCGAAGCGAAGCGAGCTATTTTTTTCGACATGACAGCGAAGCGAAAGTCAATCTAGGGAACAACGACAGACAGAGCTTTTTGGATATAGCTGCCTGGGGGGTGGTTTGCATGTAAATGTGGCTTGGGGAAGGGGGGCGGGGGAAAGCTTCTGGAACGCCTGCACATAGAGATATTCGTAGATTTATTGGTTATTTAGGCTCCTCCAATGGGGATGGGGAAGCTGGTGGTACAAAAATCTCAAAGCAACTAGAACCAAAAATCTGTTGGCTCCTTCCTGTCATTGTGCTCACCTGTGTTGGCCTTCCTATCTTTCCTCCCCCCAAGCTTCATAATCTCGAAAGACTTATAAAAGATGGTAACACCAGAAGCTTGACCCAAGCCATCGGTATTCAGCCACTTGCTCTTGCATACCTCCCGCTCACTTTCACCTACCGCCTTGCTGCAGCCACGAGAACCCCCAAGAGACACAAACCCGGACCCTTGTTTTCACAACATGACATCATATTTCCCTGCTCAAATACTTCTTTCAAAATACTCATAATTCATGCAAGAATGCTTCCCCTCATCTAACTGCCCTCGCAAAGTTGTGCGAGGATCAGACCACGCCATAAACTAAAAGCAAAAAAAAAAAACCAAAAAAAAAGAAAAAAAAGACCTCCCCCAATCTATCCAAAGAGAAAATTAAAGAATAAAAAACCCTCCTCAACCCCTCTACACCTTTCTTAAAAGAATTGCTTGCCATCTCCCCACCTCCCATTATAATCATAAACGCCGTAAAATGATATTGTTAAATATGTTGCCCACCAACGCCCCCTTACTCTGATCTTTCCTTCGCTCTTCCTCTAAACCCCGGAACTGAACTCCCTCGCTAGTCGCTTGCTTGCTTGGTGTTTGTGTATCCCCTTTTCCTTCGCTAGTGGGCAAGACAGTTCCCCACACCAAATGTCATGAAAAACTCCCGGCGCCATTGTCCGTCATCATTCATTAGCTCTGCGCTGTACTTGTTCTTGCGGAGGAGCATGTGATGCAGTCTCTGCATCTGGCGCCTGTTGTTTGGTCGTCTCGTCGTGTCGTGACGCTTGTCTTTTTGTCCGGCCGTATACCATCATTTCCTGTCATGTCGATCTTGTCCAAGGCTTCACTTAGCCCTTGATGAGCTTGCCATTGGAGGATTCGGGCCCTGGGTCCTTTGACCCATTGATCTTCTCCTGCTTCTCCTTTGGCGGCCCTTCTTGGTACAAGTGGTGCTCGTTGATGTACTAGGAGCAAGTCAGCACATGGTCCCAAAAGCATCTGTTTTCAGGCAGCACAAACCTCTACAACCGGATCTGGAATCAGATACCGCACGCTGAGGTCCTTCTTCAAGAATAGACGGACTTTGGTCGAACTGTTCAGAGTTAGCAAACCAGTCCTGTCACGAGAGAAGGTGCCACAAACCTGATATCGTTCTGGATCACTTGACCAATAACCCAGATGTTATTCTCGTACTGCTTAAGGGTCGAAAGTGCCAACTCGATATCCGTCCCGGAGCGCTCCACAATGAAGGCACCATACTGCCCGAGAATCACGCCCAAGTCGATTGGCGACCAGAGACCAGGCTCGCCCATGGACATGACCAGATCGGCTCCGGCCAGAAGCGCAATCTTGGCCTTGTGCATCTTCCCGTCGGTGCCCTCGATGCCGCCCAGCACCGTGTTGATCTCGTGGTCAAAGTGTCGCAGCACCTTGGCAGTAGGCACATATTCCGGCTCGCCCTTTTCGTTGCAGTTCACCGTCTCAAAGGGGTCGACCATCAGCCACGGCGAACTTTCAATCGCGCGCGAGCACATCTCGACTCGGTGACGGCCCGGCGCAAGACCCGCCTTCTTGTATGCGTCACTGACGGGCGACAGGTATCCGGCGCAAACTTCAAAGTCTGTGTTGAAGCGTACAAAGTCCGAGGCCATCTCGAACATGCGCATGTGGAGAAAGGTGATGGCTGTCCCGTGCCCAGCGTTAGCAAAACCCTCAAACATTCCTTACAAGACTCTCAAAGGGTCCAACTGACGAGAAAACGACCCGCAGGCCACCAAGACCAATGGCGTCTTGCCTGGTCGGGTTTGTCGGCGCTTTAGCTTGTCGACTGGGAATGTGTAGGCCTCTGTCGGGACGCCCGAGACGGCCACGGGCGTCGCCGTGCCTGAAGCGGTGGTGTTGTGCGAAGTCAAGGTGTTGAACATGGTTTGCGCCTGGTTGGCGGCAGACGCTTCGAGCTCGAGTCGGAGAGCATGTTCGCGGGCCTCGAGGAGGTTCTCGCGGGCGGCCATGAGGATACATTCGGCCTCGCGCTCTGCAACCTCTGCGCGGATGACATTGTCGCGGGCGGCGATGATGGCGGGATCCATGCCGGCAGCGGAAAGTGTTCTCGGGGAAGGGTTCGGAGGGAGGCCAGGCAGATGGCAGATGGCAGAGGCTCTGCCGGTGGTGGATGAATGCGGGGCACTCGAGATCTCTTGTCGGCAGAGGGAAGCCGAACCGTAACCTCGGAATTGTTGGCGGGGAAGGGAGCGATCGAGATTCAGATTGTGTTCGGAATCGGGCGGGTGTGCTTTATACAGGATTCCTGGGGAATTCGCAGATCGGCGCTGGAATCGGAACTTTTTGACAGTGGGCGGGCGCAAAAGAGAGGAGTTGTAGAGGAGTCGATCGGGGGGCATGGGCGGAGTCCCTTCTTTTTACTTATTAAGAGGAGCTCTCACGCGGGGGGCCCCACGGGTACCTGGACGGAGATGGACAAAGTTTTGCCTGGGCGCTGTGTCTTGGCTGGCGAGTGCCGCTGTCGGGGATGGGCGCTGGAGGAACAAAGCTAAAAGACGCAACCCACTTTTAAACTCGCGCAATGGTTGGTGTCAGTCTGTTCTTTTTCGTCTTGTTTTCCCGGTGTCTCGCGTCCAGCTCGGCTTGATGGCCTTGTCACTCGGGATTTGGCTGTTGGTTTTGGGATGACTGGCCGTCCTGCGGGGGACCCAGCCACATGCACGATGGTGTGTAAGAAGACAGCTGCCGCATGTGCTGTAACGCAGCTCCCGTGGGGGGGGAGGGGAAGAAGGGAACTCGAGCCAACGGCTGGCCCGGAAAATATATAGATTATCGTGAGGTAGGCTGATTTTAGGTTCTAGGGGTTCTAAGTTGACGTTGTTTGTGTAAGGCAACAGTATCATGTCTTACCTAGAAGATACCGATCGAATGACCTTGACGGCTTGCCGCGTTGTTCTTTCCCAGGCCTAGAGCCCTCCTCAGGCCGCCTGTAGCAGCAGAATGGACCACCCCGCAAATTTTGACGACTCCAATTCGCTTCACGGGTTGCATTGAGATATTGCTTTGTAAATCTATGTGTAACAAGTGCTGGGCTAGGGGATCTGAGCTTCAAAGAACTTTTACTTCCGGTTGCAACTCCGGTTCGTACCCATAGGTAGGCTGCCTGCTGCTGCTGCCTCAAAGCCTGGAAAACCAAAACCGAGACTCAAATCAATGAATGGTCGAGTGACTCAAAACACCTGGGTGGCTCGCACTCTCAACGAAAAAGTCCGAATAAGTCACAATTCAATTGGTGTTACTAGAAAATCACAGTCAGTCGGTTCATACCCCACGTAAGCTGTCTCGAAGACTCATCATCGTAGCTCTTCTTCAACGGCTGGCTGAGTGAGTCTCTTCAAAGCCCCCGTCTTCGGAAGCACACCACTGGTTGGGGTAGTTTTGACGAGGTCTGAGCACCCCCAAAAATGCGGGGCGAAGCTGAGCCACCCCACCTGACGTCAAAGGCACCTGTCCGCTGGGGATCTGCTGGGACATCAGTGGCGATGGTATCGCAAAACGACGACGCCAAGCTGTCCGTGAAGATAAACTGCTGCTATTCATGCTCGTGATTCTCTATGTTTCATCGCCCTCACCGTCGTGGCACAGGTGTCTGGTTGGATTTCGCCCTCGATTACGTACTGTGCGACGGACAGTGCCCAGTCCCTGTGAGACATGGTTGCTGGGCCATGGCCGCGTGTCCCCATGTCGACTCGCCAGCCAAAACACTACCCCTGAACAACCCCTGAACAGCCTCAAAAACAATCAATACTCAAAACTCTCACTAACAACCTCCTCCCCCTCCAACCACCCCCTCAAAACCTTCATCATCCCCACCCCAGCACACAAGAAATACTTTTTCCTCTCCTTATCAAACCAGTCCCCCTGAACATCTTTCTTGGTCAGCCTCCTCATCTCAACCTTCACCCCCTCCAACCCCTTGATTTTCGCCATCTCCGCCTTCCCAGATTCACCGCAGCCCCCAGTGAGAAAAAGTCTCACCTTCACTTGCTTGATACCCTCGTTCCTGCCCAGGACGTCCCTCGCAAATGGCAGGTCGTCGGCCCTCAAACTCCATATCAATTCCACCTCGTGATCAGTGGCCGCGATCTCACGAACCTGCCCCAAGAAAGGCGTGATCCCTACCCCGCCAGCTACAAACACCTTCTGCTTCTCCTTTCCCGTGCCTATCAGCCTGAAGTTCTCCTCACCCCCAAACCCCAGCACCGGGATTTCTAAACGTGCTGCACGAGGGGAGATGTGATACCCCCACAGAAAACCCGTGACAGGTCCATGTTTTCTTGCCGTGATTTCGAACTTGATCTCCTGTTCCGCGTTGGACGGAGGGCTGTTAGAAATGGTGAAGGTCCGGACATAGTCATCGTTGAGTGACTGCGGATCAGAATTATTCATATGCGCCCAGCCATTGTCCAGCTCGCCGCCAAAGTCGAGGGTGATGTGCTGCCCTGGGTTCCACAGCCTCTTTTCCTTAGGGTTGTTGAAGGCAAGAGAGAATGTAAAGCGGGATATGGTAGGTGACAATGACGTTTTGCCAACAAGAGTAGCTGTGGCGGCTGGTTTGGAGGCCGACAGAGGAGCAGGGGCCTTCGGTGGTGAGTTTACGAAGAGGTGGGTTATATGGGCTAAATTCGACCGGGTGTACCTCGGAAAGGGAGGCCATCCTTGACGAAAATGGCAGAGCGGACGTGTGATTTTGACTGGCGAGTTTTGTGTGTGGTAGGTAGGCGGCTGCTGTGTCACCGACGAGAAGTTCCGTTGTGCCTGTTAGGTACAGGACATCCGATGTGTCGAAATCGGGGATGGCGAGACCGATCAGGGGGTTGGTGTGGAGGTTTCCGAGGGTCTGATAGAGGCGGTTGCCGGAGTATTCGGGGTAGATGAGCACTGCACCATTGTCACCTCCCGGTGATGGATCGGTGTTGCTGATGACTCTCATGAAGCCAGGTGGACCGCCTCGGTGGTTTGTGTCCATCGTTTGGCCATTGGTGGAAGACAGAAAGAATAGATCTGCTTTGGCAAGCAACGAAATAGCCTCCTCAGGTAACGGGAGTGATGATGAGACTAGCTGTGGGGAGGGAAGATGAGCCCAGATGACCTTTTTGTTGAGATATTTAGGGCAATTTCCAAGGCTCTCTTCGACTTGGAAAGCAAGCTGCACTTGGGAGACAGCCTCGTCATTCGGCCTTCCTACAAGTGCCCCAACAACCACCTTCCCAGCCAACTTGACCCGATCTCGAGACTCCAGATCAATACTCAAAGCACTGATAGCTTTGTCTCCAGATGTCTGGCCCACTTCACCATCCGCAAGACGATCTAAGCCGAGCGATTTGACGACGGGGTCGTGGCATTTGTCGACAAGACTTGCCATAGCAAGCCTGTCATGGCTGATCTGTCGTGCAAAGTTGCGCTCACCACCCCAGATGGAAGTCCACGGACGACCTTGCTCATCTACTGTCCCAATGGCAACAAGGGGTGAAGCGCTGACTCGGTCGCCATGAGACCAGGAAAGGCCAACATTGGTAGGATTCTCTCTGCTCGAGGTAGGCACCTTGAGTAGCGTATGGATTGCTCGCTCGCCTTCATGCCAACCCTTGACTTGTTCGTGGAGCGTCGCCATTCTGATGAGATATTCAAAACTCGAGGTGCCTGCGACGATTCCAGCTTTGTTCAGGAAATCGAAAGCTAAGGGTTCAGGGGAGAGTCCTAGTATGGTTGGCACGATGCAAGAGGAGGTGGTCAAGCAAAACAGCCTGAAAGAATAAAACAACATATATGTTGAATGATCATGAGATAGATATGGATCGAGTTCAATAATTTAGGCAGCTACCTGTCTGATTTTGTATGAATCCTTCTGACTTTGTTGCATTTGGTAAGCTGCTGTGGTACCAAGCTGGAAGGCATGGCGCGGTCTGACAAATCGGGTTTTGTTAGTTCAAGGGCGCGCCTACCCCAACCCACGAGACAGCGGAACAAAGTCCGGCCAGGTCAACGTCACCCCTCATTTTGAACCCCCACCGCCGCCAAATTTCCAGGGCAGCTTCCGGCATTGCCTTTCGCCTTCGCTGTCGGTTATTTCCTGGACTCTGCTCTGGGCTCAGTGATTTCTTTCGTAGCGTGTACATCAACCTCGAGTGGTGATGATGGCTGATGTGCAGGGTGATAAGTGAATTGGTCTGGTCTGGACCGAGACTTTTGCTGAGAGGTGGCTGATGGCCGCTTTGCATCCCAGAAATCATATCAGAAGCACAACAATGACATTTGATCATATTCGAGCACATATAATGTCGGTCTTGGGTCATACCTCATCTTTGACCTGGCAAGCCTGTAGATGAAACACTGGCTTTGGATCGATGGCTTAGGAACACCATTGGCTCAATATTTTCAAATCTAGACCACAAAACAAAATATCCCACTTTTGGCCAGCCCTTCACGGCAACAGTCTTCGCGGAGTCCTCGGATAGTAAGCCGCGAGGTGAACGCTCGGAAGGCCCAGGTACCACGCAACGATGCGGTCAAGGCCAATACCGCCACCGCCATGGGGCGGCACACCAACCTGGCGGAACACCTGAACATAACCATCGATACCAGGACTCGCGGGATCAATACCTTTAGCCCTGATGCGGGCCTCCAGCTCGTCCGGATGGTTGATGCGCTGCCCACCAGAGAGGATTTCCTGTCCTCGCAGAAACATGTCGAACGCATTCGTGACCTTGACAGCACCTTCAGCTGAGCCTGCCGCTGCCGTGTCGTCCAGCTTTGCGTAGAACGGCCTGGCAGTTTCGGGAAACTTGTCGACGACGTAAAAGTCCGTATTGAACTTCTGCCTCACCAAGGCGCCGAGTGCCTTCTCCTGTGGTGTACTCATATCCTCGTCATCGCGCACATGACGGAACTCCGCCGGCCCTTCCTCGCGAAGAAGTTGTTGAGCCTGTGTAAACATTAGGCGAACCTCCTGGCCAGGTTCGGGCAAAAGTATCTCGCTAGACGGGTAGACGGAGCGGACGAGTTCAATCTCGTCCTTGAAAATCCGGTGGACTTGGCGGAATATATAAAGAAGAACCCCTTCCAGAAGATAGAGAACCTCGCTGTAGTCTTTACGAATTTCCATTTCGAGATCGAGGCCCGTAAATTCAGTCATGTGACGGGGAGTGTTGGAATTCTCGGCGCGGAAAACTGGTGCGATGCTGAACACGCGTTTTCTCCCCCCAGCAATCTCGAATTGTTTGTAGAACTGCGGCGACTGAGCAAGGAAGGCCTCCTGGGAAAAGTACGGCATACGGAAAAAATTGCTGCCACCTTCAGATGCTGCGCCAATCAGAGAGGGTGGTTCGAATTCCTTGAAACCCCGAGCCTTGAGGTACGACCGAAACAGATGTTTCATTTCCATGCGGATGTCCTGGCAGAAAAAAGACTGGTTTAGTAACAAGAAGATCACTGTGCAGAGAACTGATACGACCTTACCGCAATGGCCTGTTGAACCGGAGCTCGTTTGCGCATGGCGATATTGTCCAAATGCACAAGCATACTTGCGGCTGGGGGCCCCTCCTTATCGGTCTCTTCTTCCTCTCTGACACCAGCTTTGGCCCCGATAGCTTCATCATTTAAGTCAACAACTGGTCGGTTGGCGGTGGCCAGTGTCGTGCCCAGAATAGCCGGTGCTGGTGCCAGCAAATAGCATCTTGTGATCCGAAGCTCAAAGTTCGACACCCGGCAGCGCTTGACAGGTTCGATCGGTCGCTGTACCTCGGCCTCAACCACCACGAAGCTCTCAGGGTTGATTCCAGCGATCCACCTCACCATCGGTCGGCTGACGATGGGTGACTCCTGCTCGGGGGGCTCCGATGTGGCCGTCACGACACCCTGGATCGTCCTGATTCAATGGAAGAAAGTTAGGTTATGGACACTGAAGAGAAGGATGGTGATCTGCCATCACATACCAGTTGCCTTCTTCCCGTAGTTCAACAAAGGCCATCTTGGCACTCTGAGTCCGGGAGGTTTGGAGCCATGCTCTGAGAATGATAGTTTTGCCTTCTACATTTCCATTGCTAAAGTTCCGAAGACTGATGTCTTCGGCACTGGACGAAAGACGATGGGCGCGGTAGGAGCTTGTCCATAAAAGCCCTTGGCAGGGTCATCAAGTTCGACAGCAGAGGAAGGTGCCTGGCGTGCTTCGGCGCGCTGTGCCTTCAATGCCTCCTTTCTGGCCTTGGCTTCGGCCTTTTTCGCCGCCTTTTTGGATGGAGGCGCAGCTTCGTCCATGTTGCGTTGTTGTTGCTGGCTGACTGTGTAGGTGAATTGGAAATGTCGTCTGAACAAAGGTACCAAGATGCCGCGGGGTAGATATGTAGCAGATTCATGGTGCTTACCTGGCTCGACCAGACAGGTAGGGATAAGCGCGTGATTCCAGAGACAGACGGGCATGGTCCGCGCGATATTATCACCCTGATATAGACTGCGCGGATGTAATCACCCTTCCGACATTTGATACTCTCTAAAATCCGCGAGAAAAACAGACGCCTGCAATGCTTTTAACCCTTCCAACTCCGTCCGGCCCCAATGTTCGTTTTCTATTTACCGGTATAATCTATATCTGCCTTTTCAGACGGCTTCACATAAACTCCTCCTCCTCCACCACCACCTCCTCCTCCTCCGTCTCATCCCCCTCCCCACCCCCCCCAGGTCGACTATTCATCGCCAACCTCGCCGCCTCATCCGCCAACGTGATAATATCCCTCAACAACTCCTCCGACCGATTCCTCGGATGAGTATTATTATTTCCCCCCATCACTCCGCCTTCCACCACCCCCACCCCCGCCCCCGCCGCAACAGCAGCAGCAGCAGCCTGCTCATCCGCCAAAGTCATAATATTCCTCAACAACTCCTCTGACCTATTCCTCTCCCCTTGTTGACCACCACCCCCCCTGATCGGAGGCAGTATATGTTCCTTCAGCGTATCCCTATCAATCTCCCCATTCTCATCCACCTCCACCTCCAACACCGCCGTGACAGGTACATGTCCCGGTGGCGGCGGAGGAGGAGGGCCCCCTGGATTCCCCGGCCCAGCATTCGTCGCTACCAGGGGAGGCAGGGACCTGCTTAAGGGGGCGTGGACAGCGCTCAGGTTAGGTCTCGGAGGAGGAGCGGCTTCATCTTGCGCCCCCCGGGTGCGAACTCTAACATCTGATGGCAGACCGTCTACCCTAAGACCCTGTTGAGCCGCCTGTTGCGCGAGTTGTTGTGGGCTAGGCTGGGGGTTCATGGCCACCAGATCCCTCAGGAATTTGTTAGCCGCGTTGGAGCCGTCCATCAACCACTTGAGACAGATCTGAACCCGCTCTCTCGCGAACCGGTTGTGGTCGTCGTAGACGCAGCAGTTGAGTAGGGGGACGAGACCGTTGTGGCGGAGGATTTGGTCTTGGACCTCCGGGTTGCCGGGACCGTTTCGCCCGTTGGGTGGTTGGAGCAAACCGGCCAGAATATGGAGGATCTGGCCTTTTATGCCAGCCCAGGGGAACTTGTGTGCTGGCTCCTGAAGCGGGGGGGGGGGAGCGAGAGGGTGGTCCTCCGAGTCGTAACCGTGATCGTCATGGTCGGGGGTATCGTTCTGCTGGCGTTGGGCAGAACGGGCAGGCACTGGCTGAACCATGGTTGCCTTTTCTACACCGGCCTCAAGCCCCTTGAGCAACACGATCAGCTCGTAAGCCGCCTCCCACTCGATAAGATAATGCCTCGTCTCCTGCAGCTCATTGACCGTTGACAAGAGTTCCAAAAATTGCGTCAGCCCATCCTTTGCACGCTCCATATCCCAGCTGTCGACGGGGAAATCCGACGGATCACACAACTCGTTCCTGATCTGCGCCTGAAGATGCATCAAGGCAGCGCACTCGGGTACAATCCGACTCCGGAACTGAATAAACAGGAAATGCAAAAGTTTGACATCTCGAAGATGCTCCTTCGACTCTGCCTTTGGTGGATCGGCATTCCGAGCCCGGAACATGTTATTGACCAGCCGCAGCAAGACTGTCTGAGCGGGTGAGATTATATCCTTTGGTATTCTCAACGACTGCCAGGCGTAGGGGATCAGGGCACTATGGTGAATCGCCTCCACAATCTGCGTCGTGAGCTGGAAAATGAGTGATTGCTCCGACTTCTCCCACACGGCAATGAAGACGAGTATTTCCCGAAGCAAACTCCGTCCGCATTCCAGCGCAAGAAACATTCTGCACCTGGTCTTTTGCAGATTTTCCCCCGCGTTACTAAGTGCGAGACCGGCGTTGTCGAGAATACACGACTTGACAATCATGTGGAGGGCTTCGATCTGCTTGGGATCCAAAATGTTGGGCACCTCGGTGAGGAGGCCACTCATGGGACCTTCCCCGTAGGACTCGTCATCGTCAATGTCTTCCTCTTCGATCATGTCGTCATTATAGTCATGAGCGTAATGGCCACCCTCCTTGGCATCTTGCTCTCCCGATCCCTCAGGTGGTGCGTTTCCTTCAGCAGAGTGCACCGAGTCCTCAACCTCGTGCTCTTCTGTCCTGTAGGCATGCGCGTACCGGTTGACGAGATTGGCCTTGCAGTTTTCTGTTCTCTGCTGGGCAAACTCGACCGTCGGCATCGGAACCACCCAGCTTTCGTAGTTGGGATCGCGGATCTTGAGCCACCAGACATCCACCTCTCGTGACACGCGTCCATAACGCTGGTCTTGGGTGAACTTGTCGGGCTCGTCCTCTACCCATTGCGGCGTGATCTTGGTGTTGTCTGATGCCTTGTCCGCACGGGCCCTCACCGAGCCTTCTGGCAGCCAGTTCCAGGCCAGTGGTGAGATGCATGGTAAATGTCCTGGAGGAATGCCATGACGTGCCACCGTCTCCTCGTATTCAACGAGGAGCTGGCGAGCTTTGGGACAAAACTCGGAATTGCGCTCATACCAGTTTTGCACCTCCGTTTTGGCGACATCAGGCCGGAACTCTCCCTCTCCATACAGGCTGCTATCTTCCATGGCGTCCTCGTCGAAAAGAACAGTCGACCAGAACGACATTTTGTTTCTGTCATTTTTGGCAATCCAGTTGTGGGCTTGTTGAAGACACGTAACCAGCAGTTTCTTATCTGTCTTTGGAGTTAGTGATGGTATCCGTAGCTACAGGACTTGGGGTTAGAGGCCTTACACAGCTCGGTGATCTCGCTCAATTTCAGCCTGGCACCCTCTTCCAGAATATCGCCGTCGTAAGCCTTACTTGTGACATTAACACAAAGAATGATGGTTTGGTAGAGCATCTGGTCGAACTGGGCCGCAGCACATAAATCTTGGGGGATCTCAGGCTCGGGCACAACCAGGAGGTTTCTAGCAATGTGCATCAACTTGATCAACAGCTGAAGATCGTCCCTCAAAGATTGGTAATTTTTGGTGATCAAAGTTGTGCTCTCCTGAGCCGTGACGCCCTTGTCTGGATCATTCAAGCTGGCCAGAGGTCCGATGGAACGGGTTGTTAAACTGGGGATGGCAGCGGCAAAGTCTCTGGTTAACCATATCCAGACCTCGACGCTTTTTGACAAATTTTCCCTGACATCCTTGAGGGCATGTGTTTTTTCCAGAGTCCGTGAAATGAACTTGGTGACATAGAACATGGTTCTTGTGCCGATGGCGGGGTCCAGCTTTAGCAACCCCTCGAAGCAGGTCATGGCCGAGGTGAAGCACACCTCCTCGATGCTGAGTGGCCGGCGTCCATTACTGTTTCTAGGTAATGGTTCGAGCTCGAGAGGTGGTGGTGGTGGTGGTGGTGGTGAGTTTGCCGCAATGTTTGCGGCCTCGGCTCCTGTCATGGTTGATGGAGATGGATGGCCCAGTCGAGGCAACAGTTTTTTGAAGCTTGTGAAACTTGATTGAATCGATGGTTTGACCCTAGCCGTACACGTACAGTAGCACCACGTTGAACCGATGAAGGTAAAGAAAGGGAACAAGCTGACAAACTTTAATATGAGATCAAAGTTAAAGAGAGTCGATCAACCACCCAACCTTTGGCCGTTGCTCGAAATCGACCTTCTGCGCTAAACCCCTCCGAGTCTAGCGTCACATAATAACCCCTGTCGAATCCCCGTCGACCGCAACGTCTCTCCAACGGCGGGGTAAAATTCGCATCGAGAGCCCCGCCATAAATTGTCAGAGCAGGCAGGGTGTCTTCGGCTCAGTGGTGGTCTTACAAATACCAGATATCTCGCGCGCATTCTTGTTTTGCACTTGGAAGCGTTGTGGTTTTGTTCCCTTAACTCTCTTCATTTTCCCAGATTATCTACCCATTGCCCAATCGCCCCTATCCGCCCATCATGACCGTCTCGGCCCTCCCCACCACCTTTGACCGTATGTACCCTCCCTCCAATGCGACAGACGATGCGCCTCGTCCAATCCACCCCCCTTATAGACCTCTTATGGCATGATAATCACTAACATAACCACCTCCCCCCAGGGCCCGTCCACATCGCCGTTATCGGCGGAACCGGCCTCTCCCAAATCCCAGGCTTCGTCCCCATCGCCTCCGTAACCCCCACTACCCCCTGGGGCGCCCCCTCCTCCCCCATCCTCATCATCGAGCACTCGGGCGTCCCCATCGCCTTCCTCGCCCGCCACGGCGCCCACCACCAAATCGCCCCCCACGAGGTCCCCGCCCGTGCCAACATCGCCGCCCTCCGCTCCCTCGGCGTCCGCTCCATCATCGCCTTCTCCGCCGTCGGCTCCCTCCAAGAGCACATCAAGCCCATGGATTTTGTCGTCCCCGACCAAATCATCGACCGCACCAAGGGCATCCGTCCCTTTACCTTTTTCGAAGGCGGCGTAGTCGGCCACGTCGGCTTCGCCGACCCCTTCGACGCGAAGCTCTCGGCAATCGTCCAGAAGTGCGCCGCGGCCATGAAGGGCGACGGGGTGGTTCTCCACAAGGAGGGGACGGTCGTCTGCATGGAGGGCCCCCAGTTCAGCACCAGGGCCGAGAGCAACATGTACCGCTCCTGGGGCGGTTCCGTCATCAACATGAGCGCGCTTCCCGAGGCCAAGCTCGCGAGGGAGGCCGAGCTGGCCTATCAGATGATCTGCATGGCTACTGATTACGACTGCTGGAGGAACACCGAGGGGGAGGATGTGGATGTGGCCATGGTGATGAAGTATATGGCCGCCAACAGCGAGAACGCCAAGCATCTTGTTGGTGCGGTGCTGGATGAGCTGTGCAAGCAGGAGAATAGCGCTTTGGTGCTGGCGAAGCACTGGGAGGGGAGCGCGCAGGGGGCGGTCAAGTTTATGACCAAGCCTGAGGGGAGGGATTCCGAGGCGATGAAGAGGGTCGAATTTTTGTTTCCGGGTTTTTGGGAGAATTAAGGGGTGATGTCAGTATTTGGGATAGATGGGTGGGCATTTTTCTTGTTTCGAGATAGAAAGCAAGGGCGTTTGATAGATGGGTACCCGTAGAGGGTAGGGAATAGACACTCTGAACCAATGCTGTCCACTTATTCATTGTTATAGACAAATTGTAGGCTATATATCCTACACATGGTATCCATTCATGCATTCCAACACATCTACCCCCCTCTTTCTCTCTCGCTAGACAAAAAAGACAAAACAAACAATGCACGCACACTTTGTCCCGTAACCCCTAGCATCTCATGAACAGAGAAAAACAAATTACAAAAACTCATATCCATACCCCCGCCATTTCAAAACATGAGGGAAAAAGTGTCCGCTCCATACAAAACATATCTACACTTTCATTCGATTCGTTC